TTGTACTTCGTTCAGTTACGTATTGCTGTTTGAATAGAGCAATGGGCTCGGCAACCAACAGCACCTTGTGTGAAAGTTTCACGTTCAGTAATGCCGGCTTTAGCCCAAAAAATATTTTTTGGTCGTCGTCGTCGAAGGTCGACCCCCCGATCCAGTTTGGCTGGTAGCGACGTGCGAAGATCTGGGATTGGCCACGATAGACGCCATGGTTTGACACAAGATCGCTTTCACCCCGCCGAGCAGCATAGGCTCTGTGAACCGCACGTTTCATTGTAAAGTTTAGAGATACAGGCACCTTTATGTTTTATATATGTTGTAAGCGTGATGCTATATGAAAAGAGTTCTTTGTTCATTGTAAAGTAGTATTTTTTTTTGTATGCTAATGGGTTTTTATTTAGGGGATATCTTACCCCAAAATAAATTCTACTGTATCCAACTGAATCGAGACAAGGGTGGGATGTCTAGCAATGAGTGAATCAAGGTATTCATATGCCAGTGATTCAAGGAATCTCTTGTTAGAAGACAATAGCAATCACATAGCCCAAATGGTTTGGAGGATAAGGCCTAACCGGTCTTGGTAAACAAAGCAAAAGCTGGTTGGTTGTTGTGGTTGTAAGAGGATAGCGTGCCATGCCATCTCGGGTGTAACGTGTGGGGAGCTTGGATGAGTACCAAGGCATCAATCCAGAATACTCGTTTGAAGGGACAGTCCAAAAACATATGGCGAGAGGTTTCCACTTCTCCCAAGCAAAGCTGACAAATCGGGGTGGGATGTTTCACTGGCATGAGTCGATGAAGGTGTTGAGTTGTCGATAGATGATGGTGGAGAATACGCCACCAAATGGTACGAGACCCATGTGGCATTCGTAGCTTCCAAAAACGTTTCCAGTGGTAAGGTGCAATAGTCGTTTCAATGGTGGTAGTGGATGTTTTGGATCGCCAATAAGCTCTGAGTTGTCCCGGTCCAACTTTGGTGACAGCAATAGCAGAGGTGGTTGTTGTGGAACGTGAAGCGGGATATTCCTTGGATGGTAGACACCATGAGTTCAAATCGGGTAATGGTGGATTGGAGCTAAGTGGGTTGTCGGCAGTGGTGTGGGTTTGTAGTGTTGGATGTAACGTCATGGTACCTTGTTCAACGGCTTCGAGAACACGTGCCATTGCTTGTCGAATGCGTGTAGCATATTTGATGGTCAGCTTGCGGTCACGGTTTATCCATCGGTAAACGTTTGAAACGAGGATTTTGAGTGTGGGGAGTGGGGTGGTGGATTCAGGGAGAGCAAGGGTGAGGTTGCGGAAGGGGATGTTGAGAAAATCATGTAAGGAGAGCTTGTCAATAGGAAATTCAGGTAATCTAGCTGACAATTGAAGGAGGTGTTGGATATGGGGGAAATCGGAACATAAACGAATTAATGGGGGGGAGGGAAGAAAAAGTGTGTAGATGCATGGTTGACCAGTATACAAATGGAAGAGATGGGCGAGGAATGAGGAGATAAATGGGGGATGGGGATTGGAAGGCGAATGGTGTAAGACTCGTTGAAGATATACATGATGAAGTGCGAGATGTTGATCCTGAATATCCACCAGGCCCAAACCACCTTGTGAGCGTGGTAAACAACAAGTTGACCAACTCGGATATTCATTGTAAAGTAGATAGACTCAGATAGAGCCAAAGATGCAGAGGGGCGTGTTTGTGTAACGGAGCCATTTTGCATGACTGAAATGGCCAATGTATGATATCATATACACTATCTATGATTGGCAGCTAACAGCCACTTCCTCCCAATCCCAACTTTTGTTCATTGTGTGACAGTGGAATTATGCTCCTGCTCCAGACATTCATTTCCATCATCCAAGCTTCTTGATCTGAGCTGATTTGACTGAGCTACGCCCAAACAAAGAATACGTCAATTCTTGAAAGACAGACCCTGCGAATGTCTCCGTCTTTCAAACTTTTGGACGCTCCCATTCCAAATTTTCAATTGAAGCATGAAGTCTTTATTAGAAAAAGTTGATCAGCATGCTCGAGAGTACCCTTCTGACCAATTTTCAAGTTGGAAGTGGGCAACTTCGGGGCGGTGGACCGTCCGCTCTTTTGTATCCGTTATCCACCATTTGGACCACCCCGCATTCAAGACATTCTTAATGAAGTGTATGGTTTTCAAATGAATGAAGTTGATCAGCATGTCCCAGCGAACCTTCTGACAAAGTTTCAAGTCCAAAGTGTGGAATCCCAAGATAGTACATACTATTTCGATAAATCATGAATCCGGCGCTGATCTCCATTTACGACCTCCGGCCTCCATAGTAAACTCACATTACATCCTCCCATTCAAATTCCTATAATGGAGTGTAGGGTCTTTTATAATACAAAGTTGATCAGAATGACCAAGAGCATAATGTGTGAAAGTTTCACGGCCGAAGTGGGCAATCCCATGATCAAGATTTAGCTTACAGGGTTCATGCATTTATTCAAGAGGTGTCCGCCTCATTTGATTTCCACCTCTTCCGCTCCCAGCTTCTTCCCTCTTTGCTCCCATTCTCAACTGTTGCCCCATTCACGTACAATTACCACCTACGAACGATTGTCCTGCTTCAACTCATCATGTCAATCCTACAACTGCCTTGATCTGATTGTCTTGGACTGAATGGCACGTCCACGGCGTGTACATCCCACTACAACCCACGGGTCTCTTGACACAACACACTCCTCTGCCACAACCAAACGTAACGACAGTTGACATTAGCGATGTGTTTACTCCATTGTCTCAAGTTACTTGCAGCAACTTACCTTGCAGTCTTTTCTACTTGAACAGGCGACTTAACCTTGCAACCTTTTCATGAACAGCAGACAGCGAGTATAGAAGCAGCTTTTTTATGCGTAGCAACTTGCTTTAATACAACGAATTACTATGATTATGAATACTGTATGGATCTGAATATTGCTTTGGTACATGGGATGGAAGGATTTGGGTATATACATCCACGTGGGGAAAGAGGATATCCATTTCAACTTGAGCATTATGCTTGATGCTATCATCCTGAACGACGGATGTGTCCGCCTTTGGGCAATGCACGGCCAGTTTGAAACGTTCCATAACGATGAATCCATCATTGGAGGAATTTGTTGAACTCTCAATCAATCTCTTGCAATGGATCAAAGGGTTGCTTTAGCGAGTACGTCCTTGCGCTCTTCTTCCTCAGTTGGACCTCATCGTGGGAGGATTTATAGAAAGATGAATGTATGGTGTATGCATGCTTGTAGAGGTATAGCTATGTATATGCTGTAATAAAGGAAAAAGAGAGGAAAAGATAGGATCTGATGAATTCATTGTGTCTTAACACAAAGGCTGTATATATGTTCCTTTGTGATTAGATCTTATCAATGATGTAGTAACACACGCTCTTCTTTTGTTCTTTAATCATGTAGGATAGCTACCATAATAATGTACGGTGGGGAGTTTGAGAAGCCATGGATACTTCTTGTCGTATTCTAAGTGTCAACAATCCTCTATTACACAAGCGGAGATCACTGGCAATGATCTTCTCACACAACGGGGTCCATCCATTCTATGTACCACCACTACCACTTGGCGAGCCCATCACATAAAGGCCATAGAAACGTATATGCGACATGATGCTGTTGTACTAAAAAGTAATGGTAGCTCAATAACAGCGTTACTGTAGCTTCTCAACATGTTCTTTTAGTCTCATAACTAGTATCGAAGAATGTATTTCGTTCAGCCATGACATTATTTACAAGGAGCTTGTTAAGTATAGATACAGTGGGCAACTCCTTTGAAATACAAAATGATGGCCCCTTGGAATAGGACGATCATCATGCACAAATAGGACGTAATGACATGGTGCACTTGTATAAAGAAAGGCTTTTACCATTATTTATGTATTCGGAAGCAGGGTAACACACACATGCGGATGTTTCATCACGCCATTGCATTAACGGGGAAGGAAAATGTTATCTCACGACCCTTCCAAGAAAACAGTCGTCTTTCTTCTACTCTTCTGCAGTCGGCCTCCTTTCTCTTTTCTTTATGAGTTCTTCCTCTCACTATCACTTTTCTGCTGTCGCTGCCATCGCAAGCATCGCCATTGCTAGTTTAGCATTGACGACCACCTCCTACTCTACCACCATCAACAAAAGGTCGTTACGAATGTCAAAAGGTAGTGTGGGCGTGTGTGGGTGTGTGAGTCTTATAACCGATATACGCTATTCTAAACTCTTGAATACCAGGCCATTCACCTGGAAAGATCATAAGGTTGGATGGACATTGTTCCGCTTCCCTTCGCTCTATCATCAAGGCAAGCTACTGCTGTATTAATACTATGAATCATTAACGAAGGCGTGGCATACGTGTTGTAGGCGCTGGCTACTTTGGTTTCTTTTCAATCCTATTTGGTAGGCATGGATTGTGTTTTATGTTATCATGTATTAACTCGATGTTAAGGCAGAACTACAAACATATCAACAGCAAAAAACCGATGTACCATCCTTGATCGATTCCTTGTGCACGGCCATCCAATGTAAATAATCCCGTATGCATTCTCCCCCTTATCAATGTACCGGATTAGTAATAGGATATTCTTTCTTATAGCATTCTATGATCCCGAGATTCGTCGCAAGCGTCCGAAGCCTGTGGTTGATTTATTTCGAGCATTGGAGCATCAGCAAGTGATAAATCAGGTACCATACGAGAATTGTTATGCTTAATGCACAACGTCATCTGACCCAATATGCATAATAGGATGATACAAATCGTGATGTATGCAAGTTATTTGACGCCATTTCAAAAGCAATCACTTTGGGCCAAGAGACACAATACTGGGAGGAGCCATATTCATTACTTGACGCTATGGAAGCAGTAAGATTGCATTTATTGTATCATACCATGAATGGGCATTCACTCAGGATCATTTGCATGCATAGGACCTAGATACCTTAGACACGGCATCCGTTTCATCTATTGAATCAGTGTTTTCGGTGTCATCCTTTGGAAGTCACCCACGACCTAGACGACATGGCCCTAGAAATCCCCTCATCGGCTTGACTGGAACCAAGTTTACATGCATTCAATGTGGATACACGGTACGCGTGGATAACATTGTTGTTTTTGAAACAGTAGACTAATGATAAATAGAGCCCAATCCAGCATGATGCCTTCCATGTGCTCTCATTGCAAGCTTCACTAACGGTACGATATTACATTTGAGGAAGCAACAATAATCATGGATGTAACAGAATTAATTAGGATCACAAGGCATTAGAAGAATGTCTCAAGGACTTTACTGCACCCCAACGTATGAAAGGAATGTTTTGTCGTAAATGCATGTTATCGGCTACATTGGAATCTTTATCAAGTCAAAGGCTCAAGCCGGATGCAAGCGAAGAGGAAGTGAATGAACATGCTGGGAAGATCCAAGTACTCAAGGATGCAATACGCTACAATGTCGAAGCACCTTTGGTAAATATCATTTATTGGATGGTGAAATTGCGATGTGTAACTTAAGGTCATACATAATAGCCTGGTATCCCGCTTGTTCAAACGACATCATGCATTGAAAAGCAAACGCTATTCGCCAATCCACCCAAGGCATTATGCATCCAGTTACCCTTGTCAAGATCGCACAATTTGATTCCCGAAACGCTTGATTTGGCACCCTATACAACAGACAACGATTTGACCGAACCACGCCGACGACTCAGTCGACCAAGTCGCATTTTCCTTCGCAACATGGCAGCAGGTCATCGATTCGTGCATGGGCCTGATGGACTCAAGCTGGCTCTTAAGGATGATATTCAATTACCGATACAAGACGCTTTACCCTCTCTTTCTATTCCTGGATTACCAGTACGATCGGTGGTGTATCGCTTGCGTTCAGTCATTATTCAAGATGCCCAAGGACGTTGCATTACATCTATTGGCAAACCCACTAGTACACCATCTCGATTTCGATTCGCAAGTCAATTGAAAAAAGCACGTAGTGACAACATCAGCAATTTGAATCATAATGAAGCATCCATGTTGTTTTATGAGCGAGATGAATAAAGAACATAGAAAAAAGATTTACGCAATGTTGGCTAAATAGTCCCGGATCTCATTCACATTCAATTTCCTGAACAATGGAATCGATTTTCTCTCTCCTCCGTAAACACCAACGGTGCTCTCTCCAATGATACCAATCTCCAAGCTGTTCTCAGTCATCTGGCCTTCAAATCCTTCCTTGAGCTACATTACATAGAATCATGAATATACATACGCCCCTTTACTCATATAAAATATCATCAACTTACCGTGAGGATGGCAGTGTGTACAGCATCTTCAAGTTCCATCTCTTCATTATATCGTTTCTCCAAGAAGGTCTTGGCATTGATCATGTTCTTGCCAATTGCGCTTGCTTTCCATGCAAAGTAAGAGCCAGAGGGATCAACTTGGTACAGTGAAGGGCCATTGACATCGTCGTATCCAATAACCAATAAAGAGACACCAAATGGACGCACACCACTATTATACACACATGTTGAATACATTACCCTTCCATTATCCACAATGACAATCTTACCCGCTTTGGGTGTATTCTTGCATGACACCGGCAATTTCTTGAACAAGGATACGTGTTGGTGGTTCTTCCATGTAAACACGCTTATATTGCTGTGCTGCTTTACGTGCCTTGGCAACGAGGACGCGGAAATCAGGTCCCATACCCGAGTATACCATGCCAATATTAGCGCAAACCATAGCGACCTTTTCAACTGTCGAGTCGTCTACAAGGCTGGAGGCTGATTTCTTTTCGGTTGCAATGACAACGCCATTGGTAGCTATAGTTCAATGTATCCAATGAGTATTCACAAGAACGCGTGCGAGTAGATTTCAGGTTGTTGCTATTGTGTGTGTGTGCATAGGGGCGTATTGGAAAAGAGAGAGAGAGAGGACGTCATGACGCACCTTTGATGCCGACACTGGTGACACCTTGAGAAACTGCATTAAGAGCATATTCAATCTGTACAAGTTTGCCGGACGGCGAGAATGTTGTGAGAGAGAAACTGTATCGATCGGCCATATCGAAAAAAAGGTATGAAGGTAAAGAAAAGAGGTCAAAAAGTGGCAAGAGCGTGTTGCGTCGGCAGTCAAATCATTGCCGCGTAAGCGGTTCTTTTGCTCGGATTATCAGGCACATACAACAAACACACTATACATTTAGGCATACACACACATGCAATAAACATAAGCATATTACTTGTTTTTCTAGTATAACAACACAGAGTGAAATGGACTCTTTTTTATAGAAAAGCGAATGCAAATTGAATAACTGTATGAATGCATGATGGATATAACATGTACTATTAGCTGTTTGATCTCTAGTTCTTGCGCTTCTTGGAGCTCCGAGGATCTTCCTCAACTGCACGACGACGACGAGCCACCAATTTCTCGAGTACACGTTTTGCTGATGATTGTGGGAAGTTTGACAACTAAAAATAAAAGAGTTAGATCAACTTGATTTCCCTTTGTTGTTTCTCCTTGAACACTTACATCATAGTATTGTGGGGCGATATCCAACAACCAGTCGGCCTTGACTTCTGTGCAGGTACGAATATAATTGCGGGTTGTCAAGACAAATTCGTGATACAACACCCATTCAGGCTTATGATCCAGACCGCAGGATGGATGAAGCTGAACCACTTGATTATCCTTGACGGTGAGATAATGGCCCGTACGCTCCAAATGTGCCACTTGCATGAAGAAGCCAGCTGTCATTGCTTTACGAATATTGAGGAAGTAGTTTTTGTCTTCGAAAGGTGTCGATACCAAATCCAAATCATGTGTTTCCATCGTACGTTGCAATTGCTTGCGTACATTGTCTGCTGACTTGAGAGAGCGTTGATTCAAGAAATTGTCCCAGCACCATTGGCTATCATCACCATCTAATAGAATCCCATTGAGTCATTCAAATCCTCACTACCCATAACCATGTTTGTACTTACTGGACTTGTAAGCATGATAAGCATTCAACAATGTAAGATGATCGCCATCAGCATGAGTAAAGTTGGCCTTGGCTTCATCGGCAAGCTTGCGAGCCTCATTGGGACGCATAAAGATTTGGGGCACTGTAAAGCATAATTGAATGAGTATGATAAAGCGATGACATGCTGATTCAAAACGTACCTGATAAGAGAGCAGCAATAGATAAGATTTCATTAGAGCAGCGGAAGCTTGGGCTTTCAATCAACATTTTGCAGAGTTGAGGATCCAAGGGGAAAGCTGACATCAATTCACCAGTAGGCGTCAATTCACCATCATCATCCAACGCACCAAGATAGTTGAGCAATTCAAGTGCACGCATCAAAGTTTCAGGAGCTGGTGGATCCATAAAGTCGAAATGCACCAAGTCATCAATACCCAACTTTTTAAGCTGCAATACCACTGATCCCAAGTTGCTTCGCAAAATTTCAGGATAGGTCTGTTCAATGAGCTCCTTGTTGAAAGCGCTTTCAGTGTAAAGACGGAAGGATTTGCCAGGACGAGTACGACCAGCACGACCTGCGCGCTGTTGGGCGCTAGCTTTGGAAATGGGTGATACCAACAAAGACTCAACACGAATACGAGGATTGTACACCTTTTGCTTGGCGAAACCAGGATCGATCACATACACGATACCATCGATAGTAAGCGATGTCTCTGCAATGTTGGTAGATACAACGACCTTACGACCAGGAGCACCACCTGGTTCACGTGCTGCTGGTGCCTTGGCAAAGATACGTTGTTGAGCAGCGGGTGGTAATGTCGAGTACAAAGGAACGACTAACAAAGGTCCACATCCAACTTGTCGAATTTGTTCATCCACTTCAGCCTTGATCTTTCTGCAAGCTTGCTCGATCTCCTCTTCACCAGTCAAAAACACGAGGATGTCACCTTCAGGCTCACTCAAATGAATTTGGACCACCGTACGGATGGCAGCTTCCAAATAATCACGTTCTGGTTCAGGTGTATAATAGATCTCGACAGGGAAAGTACGACCAGGCACAGACTAGAAGAATACATGTTAGATCTCATCATCCTTCTTTGTATAATAAATGTTGCCACTTACCAATAAAGGCGCATTGTCAAAGTACTTTTGGAATTTACCAGCATCAAGTGTGGCAGACATGACAACAACTTGAAGATCCTTACGCTTACGGCAAACCTAAACATAGTAAAAAACAACCCCACTTAGATCATACTATACACAATGCATGTGGTCCCCTTCCATTTTCCTTACCTCCTTGAGAAGACCCATCAAAATATCCGTGTTAAGTGTACGTTCGTGAGCTTCATCAAGAATAACAGCCGAATAGCGGGAAAGCTTGGGATCCGACATGGCTTCACGCAAGAGCATACCATCGGTCATGTACTTGAGGAATGTCTTACGGCTTGTGTTGTCCTCGAAACGAATACTGTAACCAACTTCTTCACCCAATTGAACATCCATCTCATCCGCCACACGCTGAGCAACTGACATGGCGGCAACACGACGAGGTTGTGTACAAGCGATCATTTTGCCCTTGAGGTGAGGAAGTTCATCATAAGCAAGGAACTGAGGAATCCTATCAAACAACAAAGCATGTGAGCATGAATAAAGAACAAAAGACATCCTTGCAGATACTTACTGTGTCGTTTTACCAGATCCCGTTTCACCAACAAGCACCACAAACTGATTCTTATGGACCATTTCAAGGAACTCGGATCGTTGCGCATGCACTGGAAGCTTGCGTCGTCCTTCAAGGATTTTTTGGTAGCGAGCAGTGAATGGCTTATTGTTGAAGGGATTGAAGCTGCCGTTCTCTAGCTTTTCAGCTTGTTCAGCCGTCGTCTGGCGAGGGATCATGCCGTGGAAACCATTGGACTCATTGTCACCCTGGATCTTGCGTTGCGATGCTGGAAGATGCGCCAAATAAGGGTTCTCGTCAGCCATGGGTTGTAGGTGGTCGGTAATCAAGGAATGAAGAAAAGCGATCGTGCTTCAAAGTTTTCGCAGCGTCGTACCTCTTTTCCCCGCCAACTTGGGGGGTGCGTCCACAACGCATCTTCCAATCAGATCAATACGATTTGCTCTTCTTTGATGCATGGAAGAACTATCATACTTGGTCCCCACATAACGAATGACAACAAACAATAAACGCTGGTTTCCTTTCACATAGCTGCTATCAGTGTTATTATCATAATAATTTCAAGGTGAAGATGGGCGATCATATGCCGAAAATAAGCATCAATGTACTAGGATCTTGGGGGTGGATGACTTTTTTATAGGCTTTGATGAATCTTGGATACGCTGGCTCGATCCTTGCGGCCAAATTGTCGTTAAGAATATCCTTTTCAAGTTCGGCATAGTGTTGATTAGGCTGTTGTTTGTATCCAAAGATGCTGCCCTTTATTCAATCTTCACGAGAACTCGAAGAATCCTTTTAAGGTATGATGCTTGGTATTTGGATGGTGGCGAATCGACTAATCGTTGCATGTTTAAAAAGCTTGTAATATCCTACTTTTCGAGGAGATCCATCAGTTACATCGCCTGTCCAAGATTGTATTCAATACCAGCATCATTCGCCATTACAATAAACGCCTTTTTCATTGCCTTTGTTCATTACACTTGGGCTTTTCGTAGGCATAGAGACTCTTGTTACTGGTTGCTTGGAAACCGAAAGCCATGGTATGACATTATCAAGTGAAGACATTGAGACCGTGTCTCCATGCGCAATATGAGGCGACAACGATCGCAGATGTGAGATAATTTCATTGTTTCACCTTCTCCCTTAAAAATCTATACAGTATGCAATAAAACATGTGCTTTATGCCAAGTTCTTCCAATAGTGTCAAGCCGTCTTAATAATTAAGCTTCAAAGAAATGTGGTCCTAGTTTAAGGAACAAAGAGTTGTATCTCGATAGCTATTGTCATCATCATTATGACATTCGTCATCACAAGGCATAATACATATTGAGGAGGAAACGAGAAGCAAACCCCATAATCTCCTACCGCCTTGACATCGTAACCAGCATTGAATGGATACCTAGTGGAGATACCTATCATTCACTATTGGGTATCTATGTACTCATTATATAGACATTGGGTCACCTAAGTGCGTATGCTACTATCAACGCTACCACGTAATATGTGTCATTTAGTATCTTTTATGGATGATCCCTGGACGAACAATGAAAACGAATTCACAACGACTAGAGAAGCTTAAGATGGAAGATTGCTTGGTGATACGGTATATCTGTGGAGGGAGGAAGGTTTGGAAACAAGGAGTGAGAACCACCCGAAAGGAGATGGAAGCAATCGGGGATCCACTACATGGTGTCATTGACACGTACATGTATCGGTGCCTGGATGTTTTTGTCTACTTTCAACTCCTATACATATGCAAGGATTGTTGAATCAACAAAAGAGGGATGTGGCATGACGTTCAAATTGAAGTACAAGGGAGATCTCATCAGGGTGACAAAATGCGGATGTCTCATCCACCACCACAACCACCACCAATAAACAGGTATCGATTTTTGGTAGGGGAGAGCACCCTGCACACACCCATGCCCACTTGCTTGTTGCACTGAGTATGGAAAAAGTGTGCAGCATAAGCTGCAACCATGTTGTCTCCTTGTGTGTGATGCACCCAACGCACTCCTTGTTGTAGCCCTTACAAGATAAGAAGGGAAAAAGTTGATGGCTACTTGATAGCTGGATTGGTTTCCTTCTTCCTTGAGTTTCCCTTCTCTGCTTTTTTCATACCGCATTACTATGGGCTGCTGCCAATCCATCGAAGATGCAAAGATACGAAATGAGCAAATTGAAGGCCAAATCAAACGAGATAGACATCATCTACGCAAAGAAGTAAAGATGCTGCTATTAGGTAATAGACGATGTTAGCATTTAGCATGAGCACGCATTATTAATAAAAGACATTGGTGTATTTTTAGGCGCTGGAGAATCCGGGAAATCAACTATCCTCAAGCAGATGAAATTGATTCATGATGATGGGTATTCAGTAGATGAACGTGAAGCGTTTAAGCAGGTTATTTACTCGAATACGATACAATCAATGCGTGTCATTCTTGAAGCTATGGATGACATGGATATCAACTTTGCACATCCCGACAACCAACAACATGCCAACACCGTACTTGAAATGCCCATACAAATGGATGCTTTGCCACCTAACGTAGCCCATGCCATCCGAGAACTATGGAAAGATCCACAATTACAGCATGTTTATGAACGCAATCGAGAATACCAGCTTAATGATTCCGCTAAATAGTGAGTGGATGTCGATTTATTGGGCTATTATTGCTTGCTGACTGATAACATGTATAGCTACTTTGATTCGATTGATCGCATCGGTCATCCATCATATGTCCCCACTGATCAAGATGTTTTGCGTTCACGTGTCAAGACCACTGGAATAACGGAAACAACTTTTACCATTGGCGAACTAACGTATCGCATGTTTGACGTGGGTGGTCAAAGGTCCGAACGTAAAAAGTGGATCCATTGCTTTGAAAATGTCACCGCTATTATCTTCCTTGTGGCCATATCCGAGTATGACCAAGTTTTGATCGAGGATAGAGCCGTGGTAAGATACCTTAATCATGATTACAAGTACTCGTGGCATTGACGATAATTCTATGTTAGAATCGTATGGAAGAAGCTCTCACGCTGTTTGATTCCATTTGTAACTCTCGATGGTTTGTCAAAACATCCATCATTCTTTTCCTCAACAAGATTGATATCTTCAAATACAAGCTGCGAAGGCACCCACTAAATGTCACTTTCCCAGATTATAAAGGTAATCCCAAGCATTCCAAATCATCCTCATAGTCGAAATCTCTAACATCGCCTCCTGTTTATTAGGCCCAAACACGTATGATGCAACATGCAGTTACATTCTCAAGCGATTCATCGCGCTGAACCAGTCCGATAACAAGCAAATATATACCCATTTCACCTGTGCCACCGATACTAAGCAAATGAAGTTCGTCATGACAGCAGTCAACGACATAATCGTGCAAAGCAACCTTAGAGATGTAGGCTTACTATAATATACCAGTAATCTTTTGTAAACCGTATACACATCCTGGTGATGTCATTATTGGAGATAATATTATTGTTGAATGGTTTTGGATGCATGGTGCTAATCTTCTATGTATGTGTCAAGGTGGTATATAAATCACGAGTGTCGTTGCTATATGGGAATACGTCGTTGTCAGATTGGCATTGTCTTTGAGCAATCATGTGATAGGGATACATACCTCCATTTCTGCCAAGACCCTTTGCAGCTAGTAACGTGCAATGATAACGTATGAGTATCACCCATCATCGACCTAATTCCTTCCTACGTACCTTGGTAGCTCCTTTACTTGCAGCTGACAACAATTTTTTTGAAAGGGCGTTACCAGATCCACCAGATGAGCTCATACCTTGGCGATAAGTGCCTGTTCCCCGTACATAGCCACCCGAGAAATCATCCACCCTCCTTGGTTCTCGATCAAAATATTGGTCACTTGAGATACTTGATGCACCCTGAAACTTTGCGAGTCGTGCTGAATTTTCAGCTATCCGGCTGGGATCATACTGATTCCTTCCAAAGTACTGATCACTGGATATGCTTTTAGCATTGCCAAACTTGTCTCTTGCATAAGTAATCTCCTCCTCTTGTTGTTGTCGAGATGCGTATGATGACGATGATGCTGTAGGTTTGCGTACATTCATTCTTGCGACTCCCATTCCAAGCCTATCCATATCTTCACCATCCTTGTCGTCATGGCGACGACTTTCCACGTTGCTATGGTGATTCCAATCGTCGTCTTCATCGTCATCATCTTGTATACCAAGTCGTGAAGATCGTTGACTAGGTCTAGAAATGGATGATGGTGTATGGTTGTATAATGGAGTTGAAAATCGCTTTTGTGATTCTTCGGCAGCTCGACGTTCTCGTTCCTGGGATTCATGTCGTTCTCGTTGCTGTGCTTCTTCGAAATTGATCATGCCGACTTTACGTGCTCCCAAATGCTGATGGGGTCGGGCCTGCTTGTATTTGTTGGTTCGTAGAGTTTGGAGTTGTTGCTGCTGTTGCTGCTGCTTTGATTGTCCCTTTTTCTCCCATAATGCAAAAAAGTCATCATCGTTCTTTGCCATCCCAGAGCTATCGGTGGTAGTGGTGTTGATGTATCCATTTCCTGCTATTGATGATGGCATAGGCTCGAGGTCGATTAATGATGGCTCTTGTCCATTTGTTGGTTGTGTTGTAATATCCTCAATCAGATTCTCAATCCCCATAGGTGCTGATAAGGCTTTTTGCGCTTTGGCTTGAAGATCGCGTTTGTATTGCTGAGCCAGTCTGCTGGAGTACTTTGATTGAGTGTCCTTATAAGAGATACCATCCAATGCGTCGTGTGCAGCACCGTTGCCACCACATTTCATCATCTCGAGTTGCTCTGTTGTCCATGAGTCAAGATGGGTCGATCTGTCATGCATAAAGGTCAGCACTAGTTGCAAGTTAAGAGCATGTTCGTGCCAATAGCTTACTTGACAAAGCTGATATGTACACCTAGATTGCGATGTGCTGCTGCACAATCCTGACAGAGGAAGATGCCAAATGTGACAGAAGCCCAAGTAGGACCTTTGGTGTTGCAATCAAAGCAAGCCTGCGCGCATTGAGTGAAAGGTTGACTTGGATTAGCACATGTCGCTGCGATAGAATATGACTCGAATAAACACCTTATTATGTCGGTTTTGAGTTAATCGTTTGAATGTATTATCGATATCTGCTCTCGTTGCTTGCTGCTGAGACATGGATACTGTAATTCAAATTGAAAGAGGAAAGCCAAGAGCATTAAATACGATCTCCGAGAAATGGAACAATTTCAAGCTGACAATGGACGCACACACACCACAATGAATGTAATAGCTTGGTTCTTTTTATATAAATGATGAACAATGTATGAAGAAAAAAGAGTTGCGAATAATTGACTAGGGTTGAATGGAGATTGAGATAGACGTAAAGAGGTTTTTAAGGGTTGTGTGTGAGGGGATATCAGTATGGGTGCTGATGGTATTGCTGGCCATATGGACCACCCATTTGTTGAGGAGGTGGTGGTGGAGGCATGCCCTGAGGATGATAAGGCTGTTGTTGTTGTGGTTGAGGTGGGTATGGGCTGGCGTTTTGACTACCATAGTTTCTTTGAGAAGACATGTCGTCATCTGCCATCATTTCCTTGACTTCCCAAACATTCTGCTTCGATCCAACCGAGAACTCCAAATCTTCCTTGGTAATCGAATCCCAATACTTGTACACCATCATCACACCGAGCAATGTGCAAATAGTACCAAAGAATACACCATCCACATAATGCTTGACTTGATCACAGAGAGCGACCGAGAAGATGTACATGAGAACTTGACCAATCACAAAGAATGCAAAACCGAAGAGGATATCACCAAGTGGCCAGCGGTCGTCCAGCGTGTTCACCACAAGGATAATTTGGGAAATCACATATACAATAAAGCAAATACCATTGATGATAAAGACAAAAGCCCAAAGTGCACCAGGACTTTCATATGAGAATGGACCAATGTTGAGGAATGTCAAAATGGCAATGACGAATACGATAAGGAAGATGACAAATGAGCTGATACGAAGAGACTACAAAAGACACGCATAATTAGTTTCATGTCTTGCATTTGACATTTCTCCCCCGACCAGGTCAGCCAACTTTTGCCCCCCACCCACCCCTTATCTCGAATGACACCGAATAACCTTACCCAAAGTGATAGTGGTGTACCATCTTCAGCGAATTGAAAACCGACAAAGCCATTGATCAGCAAACACCAAAAACTTGCACTGACAACGCCTAAATGTATTGCGGCAAAGTACTATAAACGTTATGCAAGTTAGCCACTCAAGTGTCGGGTGCCTGGATGATAATTCAAAAAGCGCACTTACAGGATATGCAGCGTTGGATGAAGGGATAACATCGGTGATCAAGAACATTTCAAGAAATACAGAGATCATGTACAAGTAAAAGAAGAGCACAATTTCCTTGCGACCTAATGGGTGATTTAGTTTAGACAATGAATTCAAATCGGAGGGAGGTGGATAATGACTTACCAACAGCAGTGTACTTTGACCGGACGTGATAAATCATAATGGCTGTCATGACAATAGCAACAACATCGATAACCAATGTGGCTGTAAAAGAGTCAAAGAAGGCTTAGTATCATGTCCTCGAGGATCACCATTATAGTTTACCTGGCTGGAATACGAGGTTGCCGCCCAAGTCAACGTTACGGGAATAGCACACCGGCTCGATACCTTCGTGCTCACCCATCATAGGGCAAAGAGGAAGGGCAACGGTTTCACAGATACCGTTAAAACTGAATGCTTCAAATTTGAAAGGGATGTCGGCCATGAGAATATGGTAGGTGTGTCAAATCAAGAGATGTCTTTGTTTTTAAATGTCGGATGGTGCACGCGCTCTTCAAGGGCAGCCGTTGTATGTCGTTGCGATGGTGATCAGCGTGATAGAAACGTAAAAGAAAGGAAAAGGAAGGTTTGTTATTGGGGGGCAACTAAGCCGTAAAGAGAGGGAAAAGAAGGTAAACAGTAGAGCCGAAAAAAGATGCTCGGTTTGGTGTGTGAGTGTGTGGGTGATGGGATGTAAGGCAACAAGGAAGGAGCGTGGATCAAGTGCAGTATTATAATAAACTATTTATAGATCGACCAATCAATATGACAAGTCAAATGCTTCCAGCCCACGTTCTCTACGCTACTATATAACTTGAGTTTCCTTTTCCACCCATTCGAGAGCCCGACGATCATCTTCAAGTTGCGGTTCAAGCACCTTTCGACATTCTTGATGGTACTTGTTGATCCATTCTCGACATTTATCTGTCAAAATCTGCTGATCCAAAAGTCGCCGTCCCAAAGGTACAAAGGTTGCGTGCTCAAAACCCAGATAAGATTGTCCACCAAATTGATATGGGGTCATAGCCTTCTTAACAATCAATACATTCTCGATTCGTATTCCAAATTCGCCATCCTGATAATAGCCAGGTTCTACATATCATATATATCAATCTCACGTGGCTTCCTCTTTGTCTTTGAACAAATGAATGTTTTACCATTTGTAACCACCATGCCTTCTTGTAATGCAACCTGACGATACGCATCTCGAGCACCAATACCATGGGGTCCTTCATGCACATTCAAATAAGCTCCAACTCCATGTCCAGTGCCATGTCGAAAGTCAAGGCCATCCTGCCAAAGGGGTGCCCGAGCAAGTGTATCTAGCTGATAACCTATATTGATTGCCTCCTTCAATTAGAGCGGGCTTATTAAATTTGGGGGGAGGAAATTATAGCGTACCTGAGGTTCCGCTTGGAAAGACCGCTTGATCTAGAGCAATATGTGATTGCAGAACTCGTGTAAATGCTCTTTTCTGAAATTCAGTGGGTTCACCGTCAAATAAATAGGTCCTTGTAATATCCGTTGTTCCATCCACATAGTGTGCACCCGAATCACATAGATAAATTTGGCGAGGATCAATGATGGCTGAATGTGTGGGAGAGGGCTGGTAATGAATAATTGCTCCATTGGGACCTGTTGCAGCCACAGTATCAAATGACATGCCGACGTATTCGGGATTTTGACGTCGCATCTCTTCTAGATGAGCTGCTGCATCCGCTTCTGATATCTTTCTTTGTTGGTTGCACAGCATATCTGCTAGCCATGCAAAATGTCGACTCACAGCTGCACCATCTCGCTTGTGGCACTCTCGCATACCAGAAAGTTCAGCATCGTTCTTGATGGCCTTTGCAAGTGTAATGGATGATGGCTCTTGACCCACGTTCTCCTAGTGAAAACACACCACATGTTAAAAGAGTACCATCCCAGTGAATCAAAGAAGCATCATACCAAACCACCCAACGCCTGAACAATAGAAAGATTCGTCAATGTAGGGTCGATGACATAACGTTGTTCTCCTTTGACACGTTGAAGATCGTCAAAAATCTGATCATAGTCACGCAATTGTATGGATGATCCTTTCAGCTGTTGTTGAATATCCTGCGATAATCGTTTGTCGGCATTGTTGATATATAACACTGCATCATTGTTGGTGACAACGCAATAAGCGAAAAAGATGGGACAACAATGGATATCGCTTCCTCTGAGATTGAGCAACCAGGCAATTTCATCCAATGCTGATACAACGGTGCCATCATATCCTTTGCTCCTAATCACGTCTCGCAAGTCATCTAGTTTGGTTTCTCGACTTTTGCCAGCAAATTCAATGTCATGAGCGACGACAGGGTTGGTGGGCCGTGCTGGTCTATCTTGACGAATAGTGTCCACTGGATTTTCACTGACAGGCACCAAGGTCGAAGACACCTTTGCAAGTTCATTCCCAAGGGCAACAGCATCCGCTAATAAATATGGTACATCAATGATCAAGAAGGTTGAAAATACATACATCTCATACGTACCTGCCGTAACAAGCGTTGGATCGACGCCAATTCGGCATCCTGATGGTAGATTCTAGAATAATGGATACCTTCAACAAAAGATGCTCCATACATTCAATATGCTCTCTCTTACTTTGATGAGGTATTCCTTCCAAGTTGGCACACCTGGTAATCCTTGCTTCATCAATGTCCAGCTTTGATCCAATTCTTGTGACGCTTGCAAAAAGTATCGGCCATCGGTAAACATTGCTGCAGTATCCTGGGTAACTACAGCACATCCTTGACGATAATGCAGGTGTCAGGTTCATCTTGTAGACGATGCTGTGTAAAGCAAGCTCACCTGCTGATCCTGTAAAGCCTGATATCCAAGCGCGTCTATTATCGCATTCTGCCGTGTATTCACTCTAGCCAACACGTCTCAATAGGCCATAGCCAAACAAAAGGCATGTATTTGTTCCCTGACCTGATGGGCATCCTCGGATGGGATCACACTACAACGTACATTGTGTCAACAGATCTCGAATAGGAGTCTTCCCATATGAAACATACAAGGCATCGATCTTGTCATTCGATTGCGACATTGCTTTCCGCAAGGCTTCCAAGCGTGTTGTTGATTGCATACGACAATGAACATGAGCAGCAGCAGTCTTTTGAAATGCTCGACGTGTTGTTGATAGAAGCATGTGTGGGGGGATTGTTGTAGGGAAGAAATAAAGCCTCTCAATTTGTCATTATCATTTTCTTTTTACGTCTATAGCAGCAGAGCTGGATTGAAAATGTAAAGGCCTGACACCATTCTAGCAACATGTATAAAAATGACTCAGTTTTCCGTAGAACCGGCATGATCAGGCCAATATAGTTCACTCTTTAGAAGCGTGAGAGGGAGCCAGTAAACAATTGAAAGCATAGTTCTTCTGCTGGAACAGCTACAATGCCATCACTAGCTAAAGTCGTCGACGCAACCATTCAAAATATATGATTTTCTTATGGAAGACGCTTTCGGAGCTCATAGACCCTATCTCATTTCATCACAAGTTGTGGTTAGAAGTATATTTACCCCTCTCCTTTGCATCATTGCATTCCTATCAAGACTAAGACCTTCACCATTCATTAATGATTCACTGTACGGCAACCAATTCTATATGCTAAAAAGTACATTGGATGCGGTACACCATGTCAAAGCGACAAGGTCATCGATAATACATGGCAGGCCCCGGTGGTTGGTGGTATCAATGATAAAAGATATCTTCTACACTCCTTTTTGATCATTTTAAGTACATCACTTAAATACATCATGGTGATCCAATGAGCAATCGATAGTCATGTATCACTTTCAATGCATACGTAGTAGCGTGGTTTATATAACATCGGGGTTGCTTAGCAACATCCTACATACGCAATCTCTATGGACACTTTGAGACAACACGTTGCCATGGATACAAGAAAGAGCTTTAATAGAATTGATGGGGAGTGGAAATGCATGATGGGATTTGAGGGTTGCGATACTGTAGTCCTTTCTCTCTCTCCTGCTTGAAGCACTACAACAGCGACAAACTTCCAGTTTCAATGTATCCGGATGATCCATCTTGTATTCTTGATAACAAGCGGTGGCGATGAATGATACTTTTAAACCTCATCAAACGTATTCAATGGCTGATGCTTGACCTTGATTTTTTTCATGCTGTCTCGTGTCACATGATTTAGCATTGAAGAGCAGGTGCCACTGGCCCATAAATTTTCCACTCCTTTCTCCCTACCCAATGTCAAACCGATTGGCCAAAAAATCCCTGGATCTCTTGCTTAAATCCAACCATGCCGACAAGCCGAAACGTAATGCCACAGAGAAGAAGCCGATAAAGCTACCTGCAACAAAGAACGGGTTGAAAAAGATCAAGTATGAGTTGCGATACGGCCAGCAGCAACGTTTAAAGGCAAAATTGGTGAAACAACAGAAAAAGTCAAATCCACTTGGTATGTGACACGCTTGAAAAACACCAACATTGGCTAAGTAATGGTATCCAGAGTCCTTGTATCAAGAGGAGGCTGCGTTGGATGATAATCTTGAAAGGAACTTGAAGATTCTCTCGAGTCAAAAGCTAAAAGCAAGCGATATAGAAAAGGAAGCAAGGGCCGAGGTAAGTGTCATTAAGGGTTTATTAAGTAAATTAAAGATGATGTCCTGACATTCATCAATGCATAGCTGCTTAGATTCAACAAAAAGATGGATTACACGAGAAGGAGGAAATAAGCATCATAGAACCTATATCATTACAATCTACATAAATTCTTTTTCACCGTTGCCCATTCTTGTTAATGAGATGCATCATAATCGATTTGACTGCAGCAAAAGTGATAACAGATCAGTCAATGTCCTAATAAGTACAATGGCCGAAAAAGCTTACCACTATGTTTACGTTGCATACGGGGAGAGGAACCAGGGATATCCGTGTGCTCTTGCTGCAGCTGGTGGACACAAGGCGGATCAGTGGAAAAGGAGACTTGACGATTGGTGGGCCGTTGTTTCCTCTTGTTAGATGACGTGGTGTATGTAAACTTTTGATCCGGTAATGCTGCCTTGTTCCATGAATCAAGCATAGGTAGGGAATCATAGATTGAGGGTTGTCGTTTATGATGCGTTAAGAGTGTCATGAAAAAAAAAGATGTGGGTGGAAAGAAACGAAGAAAAGATCTGTGTGTCGTTCCTTGGATCACTTATTGCCCACGGCACATTGCCATATTCGGAGTTCACACCAATGGTGGCCTGCTGCATCACAGCAGCAGTTTTCTTTGTGATCCCCTTTCCCTGCGTTTCATTGTGGAAAAAAGATATATAAAAGATCAATCAAAATAAATGGATAGTTTCTCCATAACATCCCTACAACCATGTTCTCTAATGGGTTGCTACGTAAAAAAGCATTCAAATACCCTACTTCAACATACGACGACGACGACCATGATGGTGCTACGTCCCACATTGAATGTACCTTTGCACACGAGTCCTTGATAGTGATTGAGACCGACGATGTCACACGTCGTATTTCTGTCAAGATTCTACGTCTTCCAACACCTCCACCTTTGCAACCGCTATCGGTTTCTCTTCCATCCACCTCAAATCACAACCCAATTACTCGTCGCCGCACTACAAGAAGGAGGCGACCATCACCTGAAACACGTCGACATGTGGAACACCGATTACAGATGTTGCACAGGAACCAATTGCATACCAACACCAACAACAAGTCTGCTGCATCATCCCCCGTTCACAAGCACCATTCTCATTCTACTTTTACCAGTGATCACAGTCAACCACATTCAGTAAATAGTACTTGGCAAATCGTTGTATCACTGTTGGCTGTCATCATCCCTTTTTCTTGGGTACCAAAGACACGAGATAAAAGCACGAGGTAAAAAGAAGAAAAAAAAATTAATAGCGGGTGTCAAAGGATAGCTGCTGATGATTGACATCTTTTGCGCTACACTAGAATGTGGCTCGATAGATTGGTTCATCCCGCACATGCTTCGCAATAATGAAAAAAGGCCGTGCGTCGTCAACCAATCAAGAAGCATCATCATCATCTGTAGTAGTAATATCTAATGTCATCCCACCACCACGCATATACGCATACATCCATACACACACATAAAAGGATCAAAAGGACTTATACTGGTCAACGATAAAACAATGACTCTATCTTTATTGGAAGAGACAAAGACACCTCTTGGATACTTTCTTGATTGAACTTGAACCCACATGGCAGAATACCATGTAGGTTACATCCTCATTTGGTAAATGCCTGCTTTCCAATTCATAGTCGTGCAACTTCGGCGTGGATCGCGTTCCACCACTCCTTTTGTTATTTACCACATAGCCGCTCCTTACCCATTTCTCATCCCCCCAACAACATCCACCAGATTACCCTTTGTTTAGAGTTATATCGCTCAAGAGAACTAATTCATAATGTCGGGTAAGTCGTCCATCACGTCTTCTATATGATAACCCCATCCGTTCACTGACAACCCACTTCATCATCAGACACTGAAGAACAACAGCAAGCACAACAACAACAACAGCCTGAGCAACAACAGCCTGAACAACAACCCCAAGTCAATGGAGCATCATCTGCGGTAGAGTATCGTCTTGTCTTTCATTCGTTTGAGCTAGGGGGAATATTCAACTGCTCTCATGTAGATCAACGTGGTTCGCAAGAAGCTCACAGGCTATGTTGGTTTCGCCAACCTTCCCAACCAAGTGCACCGCAAGTCTGTCAAGAAGGGTTTCCAATTCACTTGTATGGTTGTTGGTAAGTCTTTAACTCTATTTCATATAGATATCAATCATCTGACGATGGATAATGATAGGTGAATCTGGTCTTGGTAAATCGACATTGGTCAACACCCTCTTCAACAGCCAACTTTATCCTCCAAAGAAGAATGTTGAGCCATCGCACGAGACTCCTCAGACCGTTGAGATCCAATCGATTACTTCTGATATCGAGGAAAATGGCGTGAGATTGCAGCTTACTGTTGTCGATACTCCTGGCTTTGGTGATTTTGTCAACAATGAGCAAAGGTAAAAAAAAAGCATACATAAGGTTGTTGTTTTCGTTCCATTGTTAATCTCATCCATCCATATTTGATTAGCTGGAAGCCTATTTTGGATGATATCGAATCTCGTTTTGATGCTTATCTCGAACAAGAAAATCGTGTGAACCGTCGTCGCATGGTGGACAATCGTATTCATGCATGCATCTATTTTATTGCTCCTACTGGTCATGCGTAAGTGAAACGGAGTCGTGGTGATGGGGAAAGTATCTAATCATGGTTCATTTATTCTAGTTTAAAGCCGCTTGATATCGAATTCATGCGTCGCCTTCATACCCGTGTCAACTTGATCCCCGTCATTGCCAAGGCTGATACCCTGACAGAGGAAGAGGTGGCTTCGTTTAAGCAACGTATCCTTGCCGACATCAACTATCACAACATCCAGATCTACCAAGCACCTACATCTGAATATGATGATGAAGAGACCGTTGCTGAAAACCGTGAAATCATGTCCAAGATTCCTTTTGCTGTTGTTGGTTCTGACAAGGAAGTCGAGGTTGATGGCAAGCAAGTTCGTGGTCGCAAGTATCCTTGGGGTGTCATTGAAGTGGACAATGAAGAGCATTGTGACTTTGTCAAGCTTCGTCAAATGTTGATCCGGTATGTCGTTTCTGCAACGCACCTTTTCATAACACCATACTCAATATGAAATGCATAGAACACACATGGAAGAGCTCAAGGAGTTTACCAGCGACATTCTTTACGAGAACTACCGTACCGAAAAGTTGACGGCTATGGGTATCCAACAAGACCCCTCTGTATTCAAGGAAGTCAAGTATGTAAGATCATCTATTGCTAATGGCTGGTGGTCTCATATATTGTTTCGATTTATATAGCCCTGTGCAAAAGATGGAGGAAGAGCGCACAGCTCACGAGCAAAAGTTGTCCAAGATGGAAGCCGAGATGAGAGCAGTATTCCAAGCCAAGGTGCAAGAAAAGGAGCAAAAGTTGAAGCACTCCGAAGAAGAGGCAAGTGATGCAATGCGCAACGTGTGTGTGATTGAATACAGTTATACTTATCCCCTTTCCATATGATAGCTTTATGCTCGTCACAAGCAAATGAAGGAAGCTCTCGAAAAGCAGCGTCTCGAGTTGGAGGAGAAGAAACGCCGTCTCGAGTCTGGTCGACCCATCACCCCCGAGAAAGCTCCAAAGAAGAGAGGTTTCACCTTCAACAAGTAATGATTTATCGTCTTCTTAGCCACCGGTGTTATCGCTATGGCAACAACAATTACACTAAACATATCTCTGGTTATCCTTATTCCTCACACACGTTAAACAATGCGTTATTACTATTCGTTCAATAGACAGTGCCGATTACAAAGTTTGGGCAACGATTCTTGTTGGGTTTTGAATGAATGCGGTGGAAGAGAGAAATAGGAGAGGGTTGTATATGCACGAAAGAAAAAGATACGGCAAATCAAAAGGGGAGCTGGGAGAGAATGTTCGTATGCGCCACATGTAAATCACATCGGTTGGATACGCCGGCGTGCACCATGAAATCATTCATTCGAAAAAATCGGTTTTGAGGATCGCTTGGGAGCATGTTGGGATGTGCCTAATAATAAAGATACCAACGTTTGCTCTTCCATGACAAAGGGAGGTCCAGGAACATCTCAGCTATATGCAGTGGCGTATCCCTGCATTAACGTGATCTATTGATAAACGCTACAATGCTTAGGTTGATTATCAAGATACATGCACATTGTACGTTTCATTCTGTTAGGATTATCATGTAGATGCAAGAGCATGCGCGTTTTTGCATAAATTAGTGAAATGTAGATATCCGTGCCATTCTGGTCCTTTGAAGCAAGCTATGGTCATAAATTTTGGATACGGGGTCTATGACATTGTCTTACCCCAGCTTGGTATAAGGGGTAACGGGGTCGTAGTATATACTGCATCACCCAAATGATGAGATGGTACCTTCCACTTGGCCAAGTCTACTGCAAAAGTGGATAAACGTAGCAGGTGATGGATGCAGTGTGCAGATTTGCTAGTGGGAAAGAGATGTGCAGAATGCCACATGACGACAAGTCGCCCAGTGCATGATTCGAGGGCGCTTTCCTATCGCATGCTTACTTGCATTGATTGCGAATTGAAGGTAGGAGAATAAAAGACGCTCGGCACATATAAAGTGAGCCTTTTTTTATTACTTAGGGATCCTGATAACATCATCTTTCCTTCTTTTGTTCCTCTTTAATCGTCATTCCTAGTGACAAAATGGATGAGAAACGACTACCTTATAAGCAGCTCATCCTTGTTAGCGCTGCACGTGCTGCTGTATGTTCCATTACTCTTGTGGATCCACTATGATACATGTTACGCTGATCATTTCTTTATGCTCGGTGTAGGTCGTAATCAGCCATGTGCTATCTTTGCCATTCATTATCCCGGTATTTTGAAAGATTTTCGCTATATGAAGGGTAGCATTAATATGCCTATTTATACAACATACGTAGTTTGTACGGGATCTACATTCTTGCGATGAGCAGGATGTCAGCTTTTATGCTGGTGTCATCGCATCCTCTGGAGGTGTCGCTTCTTTTCTAAGTGGTAATACGCTGTCATCTTATATCCTCCTAATAATGCTCATCATGAGATCTCTATTTTAGCAATACCATTTGGTACGCTATCCGATCATATTGGGCGACGGCCTATCATGCTACTTGGCATGTGCGTATCGATCATCAGCCTTATCCTATTCGGTTTATCCAAATCCATCATTTGGGCCGTGATGAGCCGAGTTCTATCGGGCTCTTTAGTAAGGAAGCTCTTAATCCCAAGGGAAGCGAGGCACTCACGTCAATCTAAAGGATTCCTCCGTTACTGCGAGCAAAGTAATGACGTCTGAGCTAACCAATGGCTACTCCCAAGAAATGAGAGCTAAAGGTTTCGCTATTTTACAAATGTCCTTTGCCACCAGTCTCATTATCGGTCCTTTTATTGGATGTATGTTAAGACGATAATAAGTCACTTAAGCCATATCTCATGCTCTTGATTATATAGCGGCTTTATTGGATCCAGTGAGAAAATACCCGAAGATATTTCAACAAGATGCCATTATCACTGTGTTTTTGGAAGCATACCCTTACTTTTTGCCGTGTTTTGCAGGCGCTTTGCTTAATGCTATCATGCTTGCTATCTCGTTTTTCTCCATGGATGAGACGTGTGTCAATCTCAAGATGGATCAAGAAAAGAGTGGCGCAAAGCTTTTGCAGCAGCCTCCTCGCTCGTATTCCACTTTTGACTACATCAAACGCCAACCTATCAACTTCACCCCTGCTGTACATGGAAAGCAAAGCTTTACCAGCATCTTCTCATTACGTGAATGTTTGATCCCAGCAGTTACCAACATACTTGTGGTTTACGTATGTACCATTTGTCAATTGGCCTACCATGGAGGTATGTATCGTAACACAACATGCGTGATGGAAGGTGTTAGCTCACCTACTTTACAGAGCTGGCACCGATATGGGCGACCAATGAACGCAAATTTGGCGGCCTTGGCTTCACACCAAAGGAGTGTGCTATAGTAATTGCAAGCCAAGGAATTAGTCAAATCATCGTAATTACGTTCATCCTGGCACCATTAACAAAGCGATTTGGGACGTTGCGTGTAGCATGCATTGGATCTTTTGGCTTGATTCTCGCAACTACTGCTGAGCTTGGTGTGCCATACCTATACAACTTGCCAGATTTGCATGGTCGTACACAAACTCTCTTTTGGGTTTTGCCGGCGGTAATCCTATGCATCGTCTTTTGGTCCACATCATTCAGCTTGAGTCTTATTAGCGCCAAGATTTTGATCAACAATGCAGCTCCTCAGCATGCTTTAGGGAAGACTAATAGTCTCTCTGAATGTCTAGGAAGCTTAACTCAGGCTGTGGGCCCTGCCCTTTGTGGAATCATTTGGTCAGGGTAAGTTGGTGACCAGCACAAGCGCCATTTTCTTCTCACTCACCATCACATGTTCAATGTATCAGATCTTTAAAGCTGTCGTGGGCCCCGATTGCTTGGCGTATCCCGATCAATTGGTTCATACCAATCATTGTAGGAGTGTTTACGTTTTATATGACATCGCGTCTCAATCCGGCGGATTATGTCCTTGATAGGCACAAAGTAAATCGTAGGCACAACGAGGAGCAACAAGCATAAAGAAACGGCTACTTGCTCTTATCACAGTAATAGTAGTAGTAATAATACCCCCGCACTTTGCATCTTACAATGTTCACATTACCTCGTGTATATACGTAGTAGTCTACTTTCGATTTTCCTCATTGAATGATCATCCCAATGTTTTAACGATAAACGCTCTCACAGATGCACAATCATCGCAACATCTGACTATCCCTTGCCTGGGTACGGTAGATAACATGTACATCGAAACAACAAGTAACCCTATAACCATAACCAAGACGAAACGAAATCGATCACAATGGGCAAGGTGTGTATTATGCATTAGTGGAATGGTTGAAAAAATCGACAACAGTGTTCCTGCATGAATAAAGAGTATACCACATCTCCATAGATGGACTAAGAATCTATTTGTGGCACACAGCTGCATGGTTGCTATGCTACTAGTTACATACTTCGATGTGCTCCCTTGCAATAGCGTCACAACCATGTACCACAGCACTGTCATCAATACCCATATTATACCTTGTGAACGGCACAGCTGATCAACTCTAGCACGCACATGAGATAGCACGTGCTGTACGTTTATTGAAGAAAACATTCAAGAGCATCAACAATGACAATGCATCTTTATTGCAACAAAGAAATGACTAAGGCCTCCCTGATAGCAGCAAGCAAAGTATGCGTACCACCTTATGTCTTATGGTACGTGATGTATGCATAAGCAAAGCATCCCCGGGTTCGTTTAAGGAAACGACAGCATGAAAAAAGGAAAATTTTCTCCTTCCGCCACTGATACAGGACATTAGTGCTGCATCAGGTACAGCTTGACTGCAACTGTATTTAGGAGAAAAAGGTTACTGCATTGCATAAATGAAGAGGACCGTTTTCTCAATTTGTGTCTTTCTCCCCATCCTCATTGAAATTTGGTCTGTGTTTCTTTCTAGGAACCTGTAAAATGACTGGGCAACAACTCCCATACGGCCAAATCATTCTATTAACCGGTTGCTGCTTAGCTGTGGGTCATCTACCATAGCCGAGCAATTCACAAACTAACCTTTGCCCCTGTTGTTGGTAGAGTGGGATCAATTTTATATTCTTTACGCCATTCGCCATTGCGGTACATAGCAACAAGCATCATATTGGGTCTACTCTTATGCTGATTAAAAAGTATTCTTTAGTTCGTACGTGGTTTAGAGGTCGAGAATGATGACATTGCATACTATGCTGGCATAATTTCGGCTGCTGCATTTGCCCCATGCATATTCACAAGTACGTATGGCGAGGCAAATTTTTTCGACATGATGGCAAGATCTAACATCAGCATGATAGCATTTCCACTTGCCGCGTTATCTGATAGGATAGGAAGACGACCAATCCTTTTCATGAGCTTGGCTACTTCCACCATCAGCGTTTGTCTATTTGGTATTTCCAAATCGGTTACATGGGCTGTAGTATCAAGGGCCCTACTAGGTACTGTGGTAAGCGGTCCTTGCAATAGCTCTCTAATATGAGTCTTATGCTAAATGCTTATCAATGTTGCTTGACTTGTATAATAGTCGGTGGCTGCACTTATCAGCAGGAGCATTATATCGGAAACGACAGAGAAATACCTTGAAGCGCAACGAAGCCAAGCATTTTCCCTGCTCCAATTGGCCTATCCATTGGGCTACATGCTTGGCCCATTTATTGGCTGTACGTCTATGAGCCCGTTTATCTACAAATTTGATTACTGATTCTTTGTCTTCCTTGTACCAGCAACATTTGCTGAGCCAGTGGAAAAGTACCCCGATTATTTTGCACATGGCGCGCCTCTAACTATCTTTTTTGAAACGTATCCATATGCTCTACCATCCCTCATATGTGCTTCATTTTCCACCTTGATGCTCATACTCGCTATATGCTTTGTGAAAGAAACACGATCGACACCTCTTGAGGAACGTGACACGAAGGACAATGAACAACTTCTTCGGCATACATCTCATAAAGCGTATTCCACTTTCAACCATAACGATCGATTATCGGAGATGGCGTCAGCTGGAAACATGGCCATCCTTATCTCTACAAAGACAAAGAGGCTCCTGAGAATGTTTTCTTTGGATGATTGTATGACCATGGCAGTGCTTTCTGTATGCGCCGTGCACACACAATTAACCTTTCAAACAGGGTATTATCAAGGTATGTATACGTATTGAACCAAGAGGAAGTCGAGAAGAGAGAAAAGGGTGTTAACTTTGGTTTATGATAGAGCTGCTTCAAGTGTGGATGGGTAGTGAGCGCACAAATGGTGGCCTTGGATTGAGTACCAAGCAAACTGCAACAGCCTTGGCGAGCCAAGGTATCGCCCAATTGATTGCTATCATGGCTGTTTTGCCATTGATGGTCAAACGGTTTGGCACAGTACATCTATGCCGTGCGATGTGCTTTGGATTCATGATCGTATACAGTATTCAACCTTGGGTGAGATACTTATACGATGTGCCCGATTTTCAAAGGCGTTTACATACTCATTTTTGGGAAGTACCAGCAGCCATCTTGTGCATTTTCACCTGGTGGATGTTTGCAATGACCGGTATGACAACCATCATAGTAGTCCTAAATGATGTTGCACCACGGTCGTCAATATGCAAAGTAAACAGCGTTGCTGATGGTATGGAAACGATGCATGATCAACAAAGGTGTCATAATTGGATATCGTTGCTCATTTCCATGACAGTCATATCCAATATAGTCAACGCAATAGGCCCAGCAGCTTGTGGAGTTATATGGTCAGGGTAAGTCAATCATGATGCCTGCTGGCTATTCGAATTTTATTCATTGATATACCAACATCCATATCCCAGATCACTAAAGCTATCGTGGATCCCGTTTCCATTGCGTACTTCTATCACATGGCTTGTTCTAGCGCTTATAGGGGCTACTACACTTTATTCATCCGTGAAATTGTTACCGCCCAAGAATGATGCAATGTCTAAATCTAAAGCTATAGCTGATCATAGTGAGAATGTCTAATTGCATGTGCAAGATTCAGAAGCATATAAAACAAACTAGATATACGACCACATTTAAGGCATCCAAAATAGCGTTCAGTCGTTTTTCTTCATTTGCAGAGTTTATTCAAATGCAACATCTGTGGAATGTATAGGTAGTCGAATAAGCGCTAGTGAGGCGAGGTTGCAGGTGGCGGTGGTTGATAGGTTGCACCAATGAATGATGATTGCTTTTGAGTATAACCAGAACAACCAGAAGATCGAAAGCTTACTGACGCCAAAGGTATAAACCTGATTCTTGTTGCTGACATGATCGATCGATAAGAGACCTTTGTTTCAGGAGGTTCACCAAATTGCAGGTAATGGGAAGCACCAGATGATGAGATGAGGGTTGCTATGGCACCAATGATATGCATGCTTTTGTTGCTGATAATTCACCTATAAAAGATGTACGGTAAACGGTTTCCCAAACCGATAGAACGATACTTAGCAATGATAGCTGCATCCATGAAAATCCCAAAGGACCAAACGAAAAGTAGCGTGATGAATAGCCCACATGCTAAGATAAAAGCGGAGGTTGGCAGGCGTTGTAGAAACGAATGGATTATCAATTACCAATGGTAGCCATATGAATGAATCTCTGTCGACATCCAATGATAGCAGCATCCATCAGGAATCCAAAGGGCACAAGACAAATAGCTCGCTGAATAGCTCAGATAATATAACAGATTAGTGGGCATTGAAAGAAAGAAAGAATGGATCATTATTTACCAATGACAGCTTCATCCATGATAATTCCAAAGGACCAGAAGACAGGTAGCTTCCTGAATAGCCAACGTACTATAATAAAAGAGGAGGTTGGCAGGCGTTGAAGAAATGAAGGGATCACCATTTACCAATGATATCCATATACACGAAAACACGTTGACATCCAATGACAGCTGCACCCATAGCAATCCCAATGCATCAGAAGACAAGTAGCTTGCTGAATAGCCAACATACTATAATAAAAGAGGAGGTTGATTGGTATTGGAACCAAAACACGGATCATCCACTATGTACCAATGATAGCCATGTACGCACGAAAACATGTCGACATTCAATGACAGCTTCATCCATGAAAATCCCATAGAACCAGAAGACAAGTAGATTGCTGAATAGTCCGCACACTATAATAGAAGAGGATGTTGGTTGGGTTTGGAGCCAAAACACGGATCATCCTCTATTTACCAATGATAGCCATATGCACGAAATCCTGCTGATATCCAAATCAAGCCGATTCTTTGCAATCGTCCGCTTGTTGATAAGGCCCGCTACGGTGGCACTCGGCTTGAAAGCGATGGAACGGTACTTTATGGGCATATGCAGTGAGAAGATTGAGTAATATTAATACCACCAAAGAGAGCATACTTACATGATGCCGAAGAGCCCTTACAAAGAGAGACAACGAGACAATCCTTGCTGCCCAAGACCACATGCAAATTGAGAAAGCATTGTGCATCGAAAAGCCCAAACCAGATCCTAGCTGCGGGAGTGACGTACATATGGCTAAAGAGCGATGTGAATGGCAATCGTTTTTCATTGGAAATCGAATGCAGCTTGACGATGAATGCCTTGAGGAGATGCATAAATGACCTTGGTAACACCAAAGATGTCAACGCGGACTCTCATTGCTTGTTGATGACATTATCCATCCATAAGACGCGTATAGTTGTAGAGATCCATCAAAGGAATTGCCGATAACCAGAACCACCAGAAGATCGAAAAGTTGCTGATATCAAAGATATACAAGTTGTTCCTTGCTGCTGACGTGATCAATCGATAAGAGAACTCCATTTCAGGACGCCCACCGAATTGCCGATAACGAGAAAACCAAATAATGGGATAAAGCTTGATGTGGAACCAACGATATGGATGATGCTGTTGCTAGTTGCTGATACAATCCACTCATAAAAGACTTTCATTGGCTGAGATTCTCCAAGAAATCGCCCGTTGCTTGGTAACCAACCACCCGAGACGCAATAAAGGTTGACACCACCAAAGACATAAACGCTTCCCCATGGCTGACATGATTCACCTATAAAAGATGCACCATAAACAATTGTCCAACTCATCCAACAATACTTAGCAATCATAGCTGTGATCTTGTAAACTGCAAAGCACCAAAAGACAAGAAGCTCTCTGCAATGGTCCTCTAAGTAATGGTAGGCGTTTCAGCAAAGGTCTCCAAAAAGCACGAGAGTCCTACATACCTGAATCACGCAATCATCACCCGCAGACTTGGGAACCAAATAGGCCATCAGGATGTAAAGTAATAATAAAAGCGCACAGCCAAAGAAACACCATAGTACCGGTACTCTCCTGTGGATCGACGCGATGAAGTGCATCAATAGAGATACCCATCTTCTCTCTAAAGGCAAGGAGATCAATAGCCGTAAAACGATGGCGCCGTGCGAACAGAGGATGCATTTTTAAATCCCTGAGGCCGCAACATGAGTCGCACTGTCCCCGGGCACAACATGTAGAGCTCCACAGGAAAGTACAGTACAATGACGTCCTTGACGTGCAGCCTTGATAATAATAGCATCGCCGAAAGAGGCTCTGCCACTGTATGGTGTTTGGTAAGTCCACTTGAATCCAACCAATCCCACAATGAACACTCTTACCTTGTGGTATTTCTCAATAGCTTCATTGCCTCAAAGAAAACCGTATTTCCATGTCATCCATATTGTCTTGCTGCTGTTTCACTGTAAGTCTCGTGAATTAAACGGTTTCGCTTTGTACATCCAATTCCATCCATGCATACCATTGAGCCAACGTACGGCGTTCTTGCTTTGATATCAATGTCTTGTTGCTGCCAGAGGTACCATCATCCAACGTGTTCAACCTGCCATAAACGCAATGTGAGATAACAAGCAAACCCAATCCACACGCTTTTGTTGTCAGCATACCCAAAAGAGGCAATGTGAAGACGTCTTGAGAACTCTCATTGTGGACAACTCGGTAAGGAAGGCACACGACGCCCTGAACCATGGTGATCACATGGAATTGCAACCAAATACACCATCCGAAGGCAATACAATAATCAACCTGCAGCGCCAAGGTATGCCACCATATGTACTATACTCTCATTGGATCCTGAAATTGGCATCATAAGAGATATCCACCTTCTCTCTGTAGGCAAGGAAATCAATAGCCGCACTTGGATGGAGGCCGTGTGCACAGCGGATGCATTTTTAAATTGGCCTTGCCATCGCATCTTGAGTCACACTGTTTCCGGGCCAAAATTCCCCAGGAGAGCACAGTACTATACAATGACATCCTTGACGTGCAGCCTTGATAATAATAGTATCGCCGAAAGAGGCTCTGCCACTGTATGGTGTTTGGTAAGTCCACTTGAATCCAACCAATCCCACAATGAACACTCTTACCTTGTGGTATTTCTCAATAGCTTCATTGCCTCAAATAAAACCGTATTTCCATGTCATCCATATTGTCTTGCTGCTGTTTCACTGTAAGTCTCGTGAATTAAACGGTTTCGCTTTGTAGGTCCAATACCATGCATACCATTGAGCCAACCATACAGCATTCTTGTTTTGAGATCCGTATCCTGTTGCTGCCAGAGGTACCATCATCCAACATGTTCAACCTACCATAAACGCAATGTGAGATAACAAGTAAAACCAACCCACACGCTTTTGTTGTCAGCATACCCAAAAGAAGCAATGTAAAGACGTCTTGAGAACTCTCATTGTGGACAACTCGGTAAGGAAGGCACACGACGCCCTGAACCATGGTGGTCACAAGGAATTGCAACCAAATACACCATCCGAAGGCAATACAATAATCAACCTGCAGCGCCAAGGTATGTCACCATATGTACTATACTCTCATTGGATCCTGAAATTGGCATCATAAGAGATATCCACCTTCTCTCTGTAGGCAAGGAAATCAATAGCCGCACTTGGATGGAGGCCGTGTGCACAGCGGATGCCTTTTCAAATTGGCCTTGCCATCGCATCTTGAGTCACACTGTTTCCGGGCCAAAATTCCCCAGGAGAGCAAAGTACTATACAATGACATCCTTGACGTGCATCCTTGATAATAATAGTATCGCCGAAAGAGGCTCTGCCACTGTATGGTGTTTGGTAAGTTCACTTGAATCCAACCAATCCCATCATATGAACACTCTTACCTTGTGGTATTTCTCAATAGCATCATTGTCTCAAATAAAACCGTATTTCCATGTCATCCACATTGTCTTGCTGCTGTTTCACTGTAAGTCTTGTTAATTAACATGTTTTGCTTTGTAGATCCAATACCACGCATACCATTGAGCCAACCATACAGCATTCTTGCTTTGAGATCCGTATCCTGTTGCTGCCACAGGTACCATAATCCAACGTGTCCAAGCTACAGTAAGTGAAGTGTAAGGTAACAATAACATTCGCTTTTCATGTCGACATACCCATAGTAACAATAGGTTGCGACCCTCCTTGATGACAACCATGGAAAGCATACACACGACACACGGTGCCCCCTTTGGATCTTGTATAAACGAGAGAACAGCAAACTACACGTGAACTTTAGTATCTCAATGTCCAACTTGAACAATAAAGGAATGCAGCGATGGAACGTACATGTTGTATTGCAATGGAAGCATGAGTCATGGGCAGATCGCGCGCGTACTTGTTGTTGAATGTCTGGAACTGGAAAGTGTTGCCATTGACCACATGTTCAACCCAATGGACGCTGTACATTGGAAGGAATGCCAGCAATTAACGCGTTGTAGTTTGTAAATGGAGACACGCTTACCTTTTTTGTGAAGTGGAAGTGAAGAAGAGTGGTCTCTTTGTTCCTTCTGTTCGCTCCAATTCGTGCACTCCATGCCACCCCGCTTGCTACAGCTATTACTGTTTATACGTACCCTCAACAATATCCTATACTCTTAGCTCAATAAGGATGATCACTGCTCAAGTCTTCGATTGAGAACAGCCCTCGTAATTAAGCTATTAGGTCTGTGCGCATCACATCGATCGATTAGTTATGCAGCTCCACTCCTGAACCAACTTGTGTAACCTATTTGTGTAACCCCCACCAAATATGTGATATCTCGCTTTCCACCTTTCACATTTGCAGTTCCACTTTCAATGCAGGTGATCCGCCCCTTGCACATATGAGCTAATAGTAGGATACCCAAAGTATTATGTCGAAACCAATTTTCATTCAATAAAAAGTCGAAGAACATGTAGACACGGTATTGTGGACGATGTTTATCAAGTAGATATATGATACATAAGGGAACAATATAGCCAAATTGAATAGGGCACATATGGGCGAAACATATAGAGTCATTAGGGATAATTGTGTCATCCTATACTTGATTGCTGTCGTCATGATCACCCTTCATCCATGATTGCAAAATAGGTGTTGTATGCTTTTGCTCGAGTATTATTCCAGTATCATCCATAGCTGTGAAACACCTCCTTTCGTCAAAGATACAAGCCCTCTCCTCAATTCCATCCGAACCATCCTCCTCCTCAGCCGTATGCATAGGGTATGATTCATCGTTCCTGCCGATGAGGCGACAAGCAACCAAAGTAACATTCCAAGTGGCAGTTTACGTATAACTAACCAGATAAAATTTTCTGATTTTGGATGATGCTTCTGTGTTTGAGTATTTTTCTCAAATCCCCTCGGATCAAGAAAGTTGAAGGATGGAGATGATGAGCTGGAGCAGGACAATCGTTCACATGCATTGAATTGGGCAACAAAGATGATTGGGAGGAAAGGGTTGTTAGCTGGCAGTTTACATAAAACACTAAAATTACACTGAATCAATAAACACACGGCAATGTTAATGTAGCTCGCTAATGTGTGGAGGTATGCTCTGCCATGTATACTAAGCGTTCAACCATGCTTGGAGGTGCCTGATCTCGACTCCATTAGATCGTGGTACTTCCAGCAATCGAGCATCGCAACACAAACGCAAACCGTGATTAGTGTACTCTATCTCAGTTATATCCTTGTTGGTGGCTAGTCGGTCTACACGAGAGCCTGTTGTAGTAATAATACTTGTTGATGTATATCATCAACTCATGTACACGCATTGTAGTAGTATTCGATCGTGCACTTTTTACCCCTTCTTCCCTTTCCAGTAACACCACCACTTGTACTCTTATTCCTTTGTCGTTATCATTGAATGACCCTTTATGATAAACAATAAAATACCATGAAATCGGACCAGCTGAGTAGTACACCACAAATTAGCATGCGGGCTGTGTGGGGGTTTCGATACACAAACCTGGTCTGTGCGCAGGTTTTATACTATACCAAGTAAGGAGAAGCTACGTCTCCGCTTCACTACTATGTTTCACCATGCACATTACACCTTTTCTTTCAAGAAGTCCTTTACACCCGTAAAACGTATACTTTTACTACTGATTTCTACACGCTGAACCATAAGCCAATGAAATTAGAGCCCCGAAAGGTTCCAGCACCTTCCACCTGGGATCGAAATTAGGATCATAAAGGATGGGGTGTTTCCCCGAATCCTTTTCCCTCTTTTCTTTAGAGCACTGATTGGCGGGAGCAGTCTTCGTGATTGTTAGCCTTCTGGCCGTTACAATTCCGTAAACAGAGGACTGTAACACCTTCCAGGTCTTAAAGGCCTGTTCAAGGGGGGCTTCCTTCATTGCGACCGTAACTACCTTGCAGTTCTTTAAGGTCTGGTTAAGGGCTGCTTCCTCTGTGCCTTGGTCAAGGTTGGTGTCCTTGGCTTAAGGCGGGAATGATGAGGCAAACCTTCTCGTGGTCATTCCTGTGAGTACACGAGTCGTCTTAGACTTGTGGAAACCAATTGCCTCCTTAGTTGTAGTCTTGAATGCAAATCATAATAAACTCTCTCTTATCTTTAAAACATAAACTTGAGCTTTCATAAACAAATAGTACCTCAAATGATAGAGAAAAGTGCTGCGGTCAACATGAGACCAAGGTTGGGTGGGGTTATATGGGTCGTGGCACACGCTTAAAAACGCGTTTATAGTTCCCGGAACCGAGTCTTTTGGTTGCATTTTTTATAGTTTCTAGACAAACAAGATATCAAACGATAGAGAAAAGCCGTGCGATCAATATGATCTATATATTGTGGGGTGTATGTTTTTGAGACGCGTGAAAAAAACACGCTTTTAGCTGGTAGACACGGCCTTTTTCCCATTCCTTTGCCCATAGCTATCTCCACCATATTCCATCCTTTTTACATGAGTAATACTGCAAAAGATAGAGAAAAGTCGAGTGATGAAGGTGGTACAAATAAAGTATATGCAAGTTTATTTGGATCAGGAGGTGGAGTGGTGGAGAGTATGTGTGGTGTGAGACAATAGGAGCAAGTGGTTGCCAGCGATCGTTGACACCTCCCCTTCTTTTGTCCAATGGTTGCATTCAGGCCTGACATTAGCGATTGACGCTTGAGTCCTTGGCATTCATTTCTGGCATGGTTGACTGAAAGCTTGGAGTCTATGTGGGCATAAGATCGCCATGACAACCGCAATTGGTGCACAAGTGAACACATCCATGGCAACGTACTACATAGCCTTGTATCCAACCTTCTCGGCCTTCGCAGCAGCCATGCAACCAACATCATGAATGTCCTTGTTGGTAGTCCTTTTGGTCCAAGAGGTGCGTGTGAGCGCTCAACTATTCACCAAGAGCATGCCTATGTACCTTACTGATGGGTGGAAATCCTTCCGCCTACGAATTACGGTATTGTCAATGATAAACCACTGTTCATTCAACCTATGTGCTGATGTATGGTATCTTATCCCATTGACATGGGTGAATCAGGATCAGCTACTCCAAACCATCCACGAGTCGACGTATTCGAGTACATAGCTAATGACGTTGAAGGACCTTTATTACATGCCCCTGAAATTCCCCTCCATTGGATCTCATCCTTGCTATCCACACCCTTGACTTACCTAACATGATCAATACCAAATACAGATCATCGTTCACAGGTATCCACAGCAATCTTTATTTGATCATCTGGTGGTCATTATCATTGCTAAACATGTATCATCTCTTCTTTAAGGAAATGCTATGTATGTATATAAATGTAAACATGTTAGTGGTTCTCCTCATTGCTAAGCATCTGCTTATATGCCCTTATTTCCCAAGCTGCAAGTAAGTCTACACTTTTAAAATAACAGTTTTCCTCACATGATCGTTTATTGCATGCGTTGGGCATCCCATGCACAATATACAACAAAGACATTTACATAATGATTTATGAACCATGCTTGGATTCAAAGTAGTTGGTTGCAGCCATGATCGCCATCCTAGTCATCAATTTCTTTTTTGCACTCGACTTGTCATCATCATCTTCTTCGCCACGTGATGCGAGCACCTTGACGAGCTGTACAGTACGTGTTTTTGTGAGCATGTTTCATACCTTCCTTTATGCTATAATCATCCCTTCCTACTTACTTCTGATGCAGCAAACTCGGCAATCAACTTTTTAGAAGCAGACAAATCTTCCTCGCCATCTCGTTCACGCTTCTTTTCCCAAAGGTGTACTGCCTCGTAGCCAACAGCGCCTGCGATCAATTCGTTGCTATACATGCATGCAAAGTCAATGATCATGCGTTCAAATTATGATGTAGTATATGCAGCAGTTACCTTAGTGTCGACTTTTTCTTCTTCTTTTCGTCCTTGTACACCTTTTCATGGGCTTCATGCAGACGTTCTTCATGTAACATTTCCTTTTTGCGCTCACCCCAACCTTTCCAATTGCCAAACCATGCACGCATACGGGCACGTTTGCTATCATCCTCATCCTCATCATCCGAGTCAACTTGGCGTGGTGGGTCGCTCAATTCAAGTGTCCACAACTGATTCTTGACTGGCTTAGGTTTTCCTTCTGGCACCGTCAAAGGTTTACGTGGATAGATCATGACACGTGAATCTGGATCGGTTTCTTCATGGCGAATATCAACAACCATGTTGGGATCTGATAGCTGAAAGATGAAGCCTGGATCCTTTTCAAAGCCGAAACGTTGATCATTGGCCTGTGGTATGTACATGCATGGTGATGGTGGCAAAGGATGAGTGTGATACAAGTAACAGTAAATATAAACAAACAAAGGCTAACTTACCGCATCTTTTTCTTTCATGGAATCCAAGTAAAGACGTTTTTCACCAGTAAAGATAGCTGATCGTAATACATGCCAATGTTTTGGTAAGTTGCACAATTCGTTTAAGGAACGGGTGGGAAATACTTTATTTACGTACCGATAAAGCTCTGGGCGGCGTTGATGTCGAGGACGAGACCCGTCAATTTGTTGGTCAAGAAGCCTGTCAAAGATTTTCCCCATGGATTTGTTTGTTACATACCATCCCAACAGGTCACTTGTCACCCGTACTTACCATCTTGGTGTATCCAAAGCTGACCATCTCGTTCAGGGGATTCTTGCTTTTTCTCCACCATGACAATTTTACTGCCGATCTATGATAAAAAGTAAGAGATTGAATATCACGTTGAGGAAAGCATATGTTGTTGTACCGTCGCAGCCTCTTGGTCGCCACGTATACCCAAAACCAATCCATTCATTTGAGAAATGATATAAAAGTAGCCGATAGGAAAACTTGTATTTGAGACTGTCATGAGAGAGGATATCCAAAAGAGAAAAGAAACAAGGAGAAAATGATGCAATGCACAGGCAACACACTTCTTTTATTTGATGAGCTACCCAATTGAAACACAGATGCAGTAGCACCTTCGGTTGACTATTCCGAGTACATCAAGTGGGGTTGTTTGATGATGATGATGATGAGTTGGCCTTTGCCATGAGATGTGTCAGTCGATCTAGTAATTCTTGATTGGGCTGAAGTTTTCGCGGTCGGCTGTGATCCAAGGTGTGTCGTCGTTTTGTAAGCATAGCAACTGCAATGCCTTGTAACGGTGCTGTAGATGTTGACTGGTCTTCTTGTTTACTGAGATGAACAAATATCTTGAGTGCTCTTTGGATGTCGCCAGCATCGAGTAGCGCTGATACGAGTGCATGCATCGTCTCTGAGTTGGGTGTCACGTCATTTTGCTGCATTGATGTGTATAATGATTCAAGTATGCTGGCGGTATCATCGTTGCCATGGTGATCACGTAACATCATATCCTCCTCAGGGTCATCATCCATAAACGATGCAAATAGCGCGTTGTAAATGGCTGTTGTGGGCTTCATGTTGTATAATTCCATCTCCTTTAACAAATCCAATGCTTCATCTCGCCTATTCTCATGTATCATTGCTTGCATATAAATCCTGAATGTTTCACTATCGGCTGCTGGCATAGATTGTGATTGTGGTGACGACAGCGCTGAGTGCATTTGTTGAAAGAGTGATTGAGCCTTATCGTTCATGTGATTGCAAGTGTAGCCTGAGAGTACAGCATTCCATACAACGACATTCCTTGAAGCCGAGTGATCCAAGCTCTTCAAATCATTCACCATCTTCTCGATACCATCAAGATCGCCCATTCTTCCCATGCTTGACAACAGAGTTGCATAAGTGTATACGTCCGGTTGAATATCATGTGCAACCATATCGTGGTATAAACGCTGTGCCATGCGTACATCGGAGAGTTGAGAAGCGATATGAATAAGCGTGTTGTATGAGACCAGCGAAGGTGGATAATGTTGTTGCATTTCATTGAAGAGTGATAATGCTGCAGTGAGGTGATGAGAGCGTTTGACAGGGACCGTTTGACCACCGACCCAGTTGATTAGCATGTTGTATTCGTTGATAGTCAATTTCATTCCTCGTTCCTTCATATCTTCAACCAATGCCAATAATCGATTCAGGTTGCGTTGTGTGGGTCGTCCTTTGCTGATGTATGAAAACAATTGTCGATAGGTGCGCACTGTAAGGTGATGGTGGTATTGATGCTGGTACAAGAAAGTGTATATCGGCCAAATACATTCCACATCTTGTGTCGCAAGCACTCGATAGAACTCTGACATGGTTGCAGCCTTTGATTGTTCCCCTGGATATCTTCTATTGTTCATAGTCCCATTCTCTCGAGTCCTTTCAAGGCAATCGATTATACTGAGATCCCTCGTTCGTGAACGTTCCTCAATCAAAGGTGCTGTAGTAATAGTTTGTTTCCTCCTTTCAATAAACGATCCCGTCAATGTCGTCCTTTGGCCTGCCAATGGAGATCGTAACCGTGGATAAGTGTGTCGACACAATACACATTGTTGGCTGATCGGTATAGCACGCCAAGCAGATCGCATGTGTTGTGTTGGTTGTATGTATGCTTGTCGGGAGGAAGGGAGTACGAAAGAACCTGGTCAGCTGGCTTAGAAAATTAACACGGCATCCACCAGTGGCTCAGACAAAGCACTTTGGAGGGAACAATGAATGAGGAAATCCTACCAGTAACAACAACAACCACCACATATCATTGGTATCCACAACAAAGTCTCATTTCATTGTAGCCCACTGTTACCATTACATCCATCATGTGCTGAAGCTTAACACCCTGCTTTCCATTCTACTTTCATGCATTGTTCAATAACAAACTTCAACTGTTGGGTTGCCATCACTCATTTACCACCTTGTTGGAATGATGACGAATATGAATTTGGTATCGTTGGAAGATAAGGTTATCCAAAACCTGCATTTTATGGAATGTTGGATCTTCTTTCTAAATTTAGTTCGACGTAGATGAGTTGACTTGTAATAGGTCGTCAATCATGCACTATAGCCGAGATCGACGCAAAAGATGTACACATAGCGTATTGCACGTGACTCATACTACTATTTTGTAGTGGGTTGAGTTGATAGGTCGCTGTTGCACGTTCGTGCATTTAGCCTTTGCCTAGATGGGTCAATAGACTAGAATGATGAGTGATGAGTGTATTGTACCACTTTTTTTTGTGCAATACACACGCGACACAGGTGCATGTTTTCCCAATACACAAGCCTTTTTGCTCCACAGCACCCCGTTCATCAGACAACTCATGTCATTGCACTACCTTATTTATGTCCTGTACAGCAGCTGGGGCTCAGTTGTGGCATACAATAAAAGAATAGGATGGGTAAACGGAAGTTCAAGGCCTCTAAAAATGATTCCCATAAGCAGATGTAAACTCCCAAGTTGTTTGTTGTTCGAGATACGTTGTTGCTGCTATCGGAAAGATAGCACAAAAAAAAGGATCCACGGCCACCATTGTCGCACTGTGGCGTTGTTGGTTGATTCCGCACAAGGCAAGTTTATCTTTTACGTTGTTGTTATGCATCATGTTGTCTATCATTGTTGCGATAATGTTGATACCGAAAATGGCTGTGTATTGTATTAGATGATAAATCAGGTGTAAAATAAAGACCAATATGACATAATATAATTGCGGCAGGAGTATTCTCGAGACAAGGGAGGGCTACGACAAGAAGGACGGGCTTTTTCAGATAGCTCAGTCCTATTTTGAGATGTTCCTGAGTTCACAGCAGTGAATTTATGATCTGCGTCTTGAACAAATCGGGCAAAGTATAAAGACCCACTAAATGATCCACATCCTATTACACGACACACTTTTATTTCCTCCTTTTCACCAACTCACTTTTCTTTTCGTCCATCATGGCTGATCCATACGCTAACCAATACCCTCCTCCCGTGGCAGAGATGCACAATGGCAAGACCCATGATCAGTATGGGCAATCGTACGTTGGTCATCAGCCTCCTCATTCGCACCAAGATGACTCTTCCTACTATACAAGTCCAGCACCCGTATATCAACAATCACCTATGAACGCTGGACATGCTGTACCGATGCAAGAGCCTTATTATGCAGATCCTGGTTATCATCAGCCTGCTGTTGTCGATCAATACCACACGCCATCCCCGCAGCATCATCATCGACCCGCCCCTGCTCATGATGATGGATACTATCAAAATGCTCAATATTATGAAGAACCCGAGTATGCAACATCACCCAAGGCTCCAATGATGCAAAAGAATGGTGGAGTTGGGCCTACAATTGCACCCGAGAATGAAGCTGAATCATACCGACCAAAGACTTATAAGCGACATGAAGATAGTGGTGGATGCAACTGCTGCTGTTACAACCCTGCCATGACATGCTGCTCGTGTTTTTGTATGCTTATTAGCTTGGCGTTCTTAGCAGCTGGTATTGCACTTATTGTGGCGGCCCAAGTGATTCAAGGCAAATGCGTGGATAAATGTGGCGAACTACCTGAACAGTTGAGCGATGCTGCAGAAACATGTGGCACGATTTGTGGCAAGGTGGTGCACGACGGCATGTTCTATTCAGGCATTGGTGTCACAGCCCTAGCTGGTCTAGCGGTTGTGTGGCGATTGGTCATGTGGACTTGTGCTGGATGCTCAAAGCATTAATTATTACTTTATCCTCCTCCTCCAACTAGCGCTTTTATTCTCCCTTTTCATACATCATTCATCTTTTTATATTCCTATCTCTGTTCTATACAAAATGAAACTACGTATTCGTCATCCAAATGGTGCTAGTGTGTTGGACTCTTTGTCTCCTGAGCAAACCGTACACGACCTACGCAAAGCAATCGCTCCAATCGTAGGCATCTCATACGAGCGTATCCAGGGTAACCTGCTCATCCCTAATCAGGCACTTGCATTGCGTTGACATGTAATTTGCAGTTGCTGGCGGATATCCACCTAAGCCCTATCGCAATGACAACGAGACTCTTGAAGCTGCTGGTATCAAGAACGGTGACGCGTTGGCAATAACGATTGTCGATACACCTGTTGACTCTGCACCAGCACCAGCACCAGCACCAGCATCACAGCCTTCTATTCCGCCACCACAACAACCTACTCAGAATGCACCCATGTCATCTATATCCACTGGAAATGCTGATGCTGTGGAGACGAATGGTGGATTATTGGCTTTAAGGGTATGGATTAGGTCATGTTGCAATAAACGATGGACTAACACCACAAGATGATATAGACCGTACCAGATGACAATTCTTGCTTGTTTCGTGCTCTTGGGTAAGTGCAATCATTCAAATGAGTTGCCATGTGACCTATGATCATGCATTGTTGACCCTCAAAAATCACCAGGTATGTCGCAAATCGGGATACATCAATCACCCAGGAACTTCGAAAAGGTATACTTTTACATCCTCTATTGGATCGATGCATGCTTACTGATATCATCTCATTAGCCGTGGCTACCGCCATTGAGCAAGATCCCATCATGTACTCGGATGCTACCCTTGGTCAAGAACGAACAAAGTATATAGATTGGATTCAAAAGACCTCTTCTTGGGGAGGTGCCATTGGTAGGTGTCAGCTGAAGATGTGTGCTTAATGGGATTCAAGGATACAAACTCATCCTGTTTGTCTTTGTAGAAATTGCCATATTGTCCAATTACCTTAATGTTGGTAAGCTGTCATATTCAGTACCTTGTATACATGCTTGGATGATGACTCATGACGACGGCGACATTAGAAATTGATAGTATTGACGTACAAACTGGAAGAGTGGATAAATTTGGTGAGTAACAACCCCGTTGATGGCAAGGGATATGCTAACATTGGCGGCATTGTGTTAAAGGTGAAGGCAGCTATTCTGAGCGCGTGTTGATTATTTACAGCGGCATCCGTAAGTGGAAGTTGGCAAACGTTATGGATGGTTTATTGATACTAAATATGGATATAGATTATGACGCAGTGGCATTGACACCAGGATTGGATTGTCCAGAAGATTTTGATCAAACACGGTTTTCCTCAGGGGATGAAAGTATCATTAATGCCGCCAAAAAGCTTGCAGACATATTGCGACAGGCAAGTATAGTAGATGGTTGATTGAACTTGGAGATTTTATGGATTAACCATGATGACGACAATAGAAACGCAAGTATACGGATGTGGCAAACTTTACACTCAAATGTAATCAATGCATGAAGGGATTGGTTGGAGAGAAAGGTACGTAGAATACATTGATGCAGCTGCATATGGGGCGGAGGAAGAACATTTCTTGCTGAGACATAAGATTTGCTTATAGATGCTCGGGATCATGCAGCGGTAAGTATAAAGCTCAAGCCATAACAAGGGTACAATGACTGAATGGGATATCCATTGTGTAATAGGCTACTGGACACACCCATTTTGTGGAATACTAGAGAATGCGTCCAATACAATATTGTTTTATACATATGATGTGTGTGTATGATTGTGTATCGGGTGGGGGGGTGTCCATTGTGATGGATGATAATGAGCAGGTACATAATGATGCGACCACATAGTACGCAAGCATCTCCTTGCTCATGATACAAGGAGATTACACTTGACTCCTTGATAATGGCGAAAAAAAGAGAAAAAGAACTTTTGTGTATCACCTTGTGCATCCCCCTCGCACTTGGCGTGATTCGTGACTTCAACTCAAAGCTTGGGATGTGTCGCATTTTGCTTGCAGAGCAACCTCTTCCCGCAGGGCCGACCAACACCCAACACACACTCTCACCTCTCTCTCTCTCTCTCTCTCTCTCTCTCTTTCTCTCTCCCACTTTCTCTTTCTCTCACTCTTCTCTCTTTTTCCTTCCAATTGCTTTTTCCTCTCGCATTCGTTCTCGGACCATCACTCCATTCTCAACCCGGCCTCGCCAACATCACTTAACCTTGACACTTGATTATTGCAATGCGACGTGACGTACGCATTCTGCTCGTAGGAGACGGTAAATTCAAACAATACAACCCATTCAAGCACTCGACTTTACTCATAAATGTCTACTCTATATAGAGGGTGTCGGCAAGAGTACGCTGATAACATCGTTGATAAAAGAAGTCTATATACCCAACGTAAGGACCAGCTAAAGTATATCCACTATCATACACACGCGCAAGAAACTAAATTGCCCGGCTTATGGAAACGTATAGGTACAGCACCTTGTTCCTGAAGTCACTATTCCACCAGAGGTGACGCCCGAAAACGTAACGATGCACATCACCGATAGTTCAGCGCGTCCAGAACATCGTGAACAACTCGAAGCTGAAATCCGCAAAGCCCACGTTATTTGCATTGTCTATGCGATTGATGATCCGAATACGTTCAACCGTTTACCACTATATTGGCTTCCTTATATTCGCTCACTCGGCGTCAATGTAAGCAAAAGAGAAATGATGGGGGGAATCCACCTATCTGATACAAGCGAATGTTAGGTCCCTGTTGTGCTAGTGGGTAATAAGATCGACTTACGTGGAGAAGACGTGACCAACACCAGTCTTGAGGATGAAGTGATCCCTATTATGAATGAATTCAAGGTAACACACTGTAGTCCTTCTTTTATATATATACACCTTCTTATTTGTTTATCTATCTTAGGAAGTGGAGACGTGCGTCGAGTGTTCTTCCAAACAATTGCTCAATGTATCAGAAGTGTTTTACTTTGCCCAAAAAGCTGTGCTACATCCTACCGCACCACTTTACGATTCAAGAGAGCATGTAAGCTTTGATTTCTATCTTGGAAATGGCGCCATATTATTATCACGAATATGACCAATGACAATTAATCTTATTTTACCCCGTATATACCAGGTTCTCAAGCCCCAATGTGTAGAGGCATTATCAAGGATCTTCAAGCTCTGCGATACCGACAAGGATAATGTGTTGAATGACAGAGAATTGAATGAGTTTCAAGTAAGCAGATTTTGACTTGACAAGAGCTATTCGATCCTGATGATTATATACTACATAGAGGAAATGCTTCAATGCACCATTACAGCAGCATGAATTGGATGGGGTCAAGGAAGTGGTGCGAGAGCATGAACCAGCTGGCGTCAATGATGTTGGATTAACAGAAGTTGGTAAGTTCCTTTTATTAGCTGACAAAGGTACAAAGAAATACTAGCTAATAGGGGTTCTTTGTTTTCATTATTAGGATTCGCATTCTTGCATTCACTTTTCATTCAAAGAGGCCGCCTTGAAACGACATGGACTGTATTGCGAAAGTTTGGCTACGGTGATGACTTGTCATTACGAGAAGATTTTCTTTTACCTCCGTATGTATGCGTCAAAGCTTCAGCATATCCACAAGCTTGTCTAATGCGACATTGTACTACAGTCTTGAGGTTCCACAAGAATGTTCTGTTGAGCTTAGTCCCCATGGTTATCAATTCTTTGCAGAGCTCTTCCAAGCGTTTGATAAGGTAAGCTTACAGGATAAAAAATGCATCGAGGATAGCATGCTTAGGTGGATTCTTAGGACAAGGATGGTGCATTAAACCGTACAGAATTGGAAGCATTATTCAGCACATCACCGGGAAATCCATGGGAGCATACCGCCTTTCCACACACAACCATCACTACCGAAAGTGGATCAGTGACATTACAGGGTTGGCTTGCACAATGGAGGTATGTGCTTTTTTTTCTTTATTTGATTGGATGCTTGCCTTGATGGATGATCTGGTTACTGACGGGCTTTATGCATGATTTTTAGTATGACTACCTTAATAGACTACAAGACGACATTAAAATACCTCGCTTATCTCGGGTTTGAAGGCGACACGCGTACTGCTCTCAAGGTGACACGACCAAAGAAAATGGATCGCAAAAAGGGCAAGATTCAACGCAACGTCTTTTTATGTTACGTATTTGGTGCATCCGGTTCTGGAAAAGTAAGCATTGTAGAGGGATAAGGGGCCTTGATTTAGCAAATGCTAATGATGATGAATAGACTTCATTGCTCAAGGCCTTTGTGAACAAGCCATTTTCAGAAAAGCAGCAGCCCACCGTTGAGCCTTTCAATGTGGTGAATTCAGTAGAGATGAAAGGCATTGAAAAGTATCTTGTGGTATGTGCATAATGTGACATTGGTGTTTTGCGGATGATTGACAAGCATCTATTAGATGGAGGAAATTGGATCAAATCGGGAAGACGAGATTTTATCAAGCAAGCAGCGGTTAGATGCGTGCGATCTTCTCTGTTTTGTGTATGATACAAGTGACGTCAATTCCTTTGAATATGTTGCATCATTGCGGGTAAGTACGAGCGATAATAGCAAGATGTCAATGGTATTGATATAGATTTATAGGAAAAGTACAAGGTGGATCATATACCTACTGTATTTGTAGCCACAAAATGCGAGCTGGATTTGGTGACTCAACGCTATGAAGTGCAACCGGATGTATATTGCCGTAACCTTGGCCTTGCAGTTCCATTGAGCGTGTCCGTAAAGCAACATCAAATGGCAGATTTGTATCATATCCTCACTGGAGTTGCAATGAATCCGTAAGTTTAGAGTCAAAGGAAAATGTATGTATCAAGATTCTAACACACACACCCTATTAGAACGATTGCCACACCTGGTTCTTTAAAAGACAAAACGGAAGAAGCTTGGCTGTCACGGCGTTATGTTACATTTTCATTGGTGGCGGGTGCAGTGATCTTGACCAGCTTAGCAGCATACAAATTTCTAAAGCAGCATCCGGGTGCTCTGGGTAGTGGGGCGCAAAACATGGCTACCGTAGCAGCTAAAAAACGCGATTATCTCTAAATGCGTGGTATTGGCAACTATGATCTGGTTTTGTGTATTGTACTTTGTACTCTTTGTAATTAACAAGAACTTGAAACACACTATGGCTGTTCATGTGGGGTCAACGTGGTGGTTGGATGGAAAATGATTTACATAATTTCGGATCCCGCAAGAGTGTACTTGAATTCCATAACGTAAGCGGAAAATTAATCGCCCCTTTTATCGGATGACTACCGGCTCATTTTAATGCGTTGTTGTGATTATTGATTGCGGGAAACGAGGTGGAGAACATAAATCATGGATGGTTGAGGACATGTGAGGAAACAAGAACAGGTATGTGCGTACCAAGTCTAAATACACAGGGAGGTAAAAAAAAGGTGGTGGTTTCTTTTTCTAAAATATACAAGCGTGGTCTATGCCTTGCGAGAAGCCTTTAGCAATAAAGCGTAAGCCATGATAGTGTAGTTTGTGAAGATGTCCTTCATCATAAAGAGCAACGCTTGGGACAAGACGGCCTTGGAGATTTGAGCGCCCATACCCTACAAGGTTGTAAAGTTTTCACAAGTCAGCCGGGGGAAGATAACACATCTTCACGTGCGTCTCATTTTGACTTACCCTATACCATCCAAAGAAGCCTTCGCTTTGCAACACACGGGTCAATACATCAATGGATCCCTTGTATGGCTTGACCTTGTCTTGGATCTCCTTGGATGGCTTCCATTGCAAACGGACCTTGGCCATGATATAGGGGTAGGTGACGATAGTAGCAAGCGTTTTGCTGAGAGCACCCACAACAAATGAAACACCTGGTGTCATGCTCAATTTGAGTGTGTTGAGAGCAAATTCCTTGATCTTTTCAAAGCTGGCAAAGGTGATAGCTGGGTTGACACAAAGGATCAAGGATGGCTGGATGCCTTTCCACAAACCACCAACGCCTTCCTCATTGATAATCGACATACAAGTACGCAAAACGGATTGACGTTCGTTGCTGGGAAGTGTTTGTTGGCGTGTGGTCACCAGGGCAACAGGTGTTGTTACAAGCGTTGTAAGAGCACCAGCAGCAGCACCAAGCAAAAGTTCCAAAGCTGTCGACAAGGTGCCTCCTGCAGGGTTGTAGCGTTTGTTGTAGAGTTCACGGATCATCGAATAGCAATAAAAGTAGGTGAAGTTGGTGGATGCTGTACCAAGGAGAGAGCTGCCCAAACCAGCATATAAACCAGCAACACCTTCCTTTTGCATGATTTGCATGATACCATCCCAAGCAGATGAATAGTGTTCCTGTTCTTTGTCATCAAGCGATTCATGTTTGGCTTGTACTTGAATACGAGTTTTAATGCTGCAATTCATTAGAGTAAGTATATCTTTTTTTCCTTTTATGCTTGAATACGGATGATGATGATGATATAAATCTTACATGTCGAGTGGATACACCATGGTCAATGCGAACATGGCACCGGCTGATCCGGCCACAGCATTACCAAAGGGAGGCAAAGTTGGTTTTGACGCGGTGGGCATGAAGAGATTGGAGGATGTGTGTAGAAATGGGTTTGTGCAGGGAAAGAAAGCAAAGCAAATGTGCCTGAAAATGCTGACTCAATCTCTTTTATTCCACAGACCGAGTGAGACAAGCCTCCTTGCCTTGTTTGGTAATCCATTGCCCAGACAACAGTGGGAAATTAGCCCGCTCTTGAAATCGCTCTCGTAAGCAGGAACTCTTGGTTATTCCACCAACCCCCTTCTTGTCAACCTCCTCCCCTCCCCCTCTTTTCGCACCATCAGCAGTCAACATGGACTCATTTCACATAGCAACTCAATGCCATTGCCATGCTCATTGGCACTGATGGGAACCAGCAAACGATATTGGAATCATGGTTTGACGTATGACAGTTGTCACCTTGTGCAAGTTCACCTTATCTGGTCAGCGACTATTTAATTTCTGCCATCCAACTATTTTATGCTATCTCGAATGTGGCAAATGTTTACAACTACAACAAGCAGAGAAACAACGGAAGAACGGATGATGATGGTGATGATGATGATGATGATGCATATGGGTAAAAGAATGAACGAAAAGGTCTCGTGAACGGCAAAACATACAGCGGCTGCATCAAGACTCGACCGAGAATGCGGATATCAACTACGACCTGTTATACAATGATCAGCATCTTTGTGTGTGTTGAGGTCCCTTTCGACTCCAATAAGCACGAGAATGTTGGAGAGAAGAATCTTCATTCATGTGTGCATCGCTCAAGGCATCCATGGATTGAGATGCTCTTTTATCACTTTGCTGATACAATGATGGATTTGCAGGAGGAACAGTTGTATGATGATGATGGCTCATTCTTTGATCAAGTGACTGTGGACTTGATGGGGTCGATCTATCCGGTTGCGAGGTTGGTGCTGATGACTTGACGTCTTCTGTATTACTCCAAACACTGCCCATATACAAGAAAAAATGATTAGAAGCAATAAAAGAGGGAAGTCGATCTTGGGATTTCGCTGAGTAATGCGTCCACTGTTATGTATTTTCCGTGAGCAATTGATGTCTCTGATTTTGACAAGGTGCAACAATAAACATTAAGCTATGGATCAATGATACAAACATACATCAACTTTGACTTGCTTTATTACCTTCTCATAAAGTAGCATTCATATTCTATATACTTTTCTTACACACTCTAAATGATGTGACTCATATTCAATCAATCAACGAGGCCAAGATGTAAAATGATGAGTTTAGAACTTTAATGAATTTGTTATCATACATGCAATGGGAAATATCTAATTAGCGTGCGAGACGTGTATAAAAGAAGACGTTGTATATGTAAATGGATGATGTTTATGTAAGGTGCACATGGTGTTGCGCATGAAAGAGGGACTTGAGGAAAAGCCATCCGTTGTGTTTAACGTCTTGGCTTACGGAAGAGCCAAACAAAGAAGATGAAGGCGATAACATTGAACATCCAGAAAGCCAAGAGGACACCCCAATCACGATAACGGTTCGAGAACGACCATCCTAGACCTTCATAGAAATCATTGCCGTAGTTGTATGGGCAGTATTCGCAAAGTTCGGTGCTGTTGAGGGATGATTCACGAACGTAACCAGGGCCACCCATCTCAAAGAATGCTTCAGTGTACTCGGCACAAGTTTGACCAGGTGGTGGATGGAAAGGCAAGAGATCTTGATCACGGCAGTTGACCTTGAATTCATGCAATTCGTTGACAATGAAACCTTCAATGAGATAATGGTAGGGATCCAACCAATACATCCAAGCGCTCCAAAAGTGTGGCATCTTATCGGGTGCTTGCATGATACCAGCAAAGAGAATAAGGATGGATGAGAAGAATGGGTTGATAACGGCGGCCATGGTGGGAGTAGTAGAGAAGGCAGCAATCAATTCACCAAATGAAATCGAGAAGCCCAAGAAGGTGCCGAACAAGAGATAAAAGTAGCCAACACGATCCGAAATGTTTTGAAGACCGGCAGTCCAGTAGAAGCAGAACATGAAAAGAGCATCGAAAATCTATCAAGGCATAGGTTAGTAAAAGTGACGATCAACCTTGTATAAAGATAATGCTTACCCAAATGTAAGGCATCTCGACCAAGATACATGATAAAGCGAAAGGAGCCCATCCATAATACTTGGAAGCATGCTCACGGCGGAACCATTGACGTTCTTCCATAAAGCGGGGTTGCACCAAGACAATGAGCGAGTTGGCCATAATGAGAGTACAGAAAATACAGAACAATCTATGAAAGAACAATGAATACCAATAGACATTGATAGTAGAATTGTCATCATTACCTGTTTTCCATATCAAAAGCAGCATCGGAAAGCTTCCAGAAAGAGAAACCAGAAAGAAGGGCAACAAAGACGACCTTGATAAGACGACCAACATTATAGGAAGGTGATCTCCAGTATGAGACATTCATGCGCTTGTACACGAGCCAGAATTGCTGGAAGAAGTTGAGCGAGTAGGTCTTTGGCTTCTTGTGTTGGTTTTGATCGACTTCGTTATGGATCTTCTCAAGTTCATCTTGCAAGGCCTTAGCTTCCTTGGAGTTCTCCCAAATCTCAGCCCAATCAGCTTGAGCAACACCAGCAGTACCAGCACCGACAACTTCAAGGATATATTCGGCAGGGTTGGCACTTGGAGAACACTTGGAGGCACCATTGCTTTCAAAGTAGTTGATCATAGTCTTGCTATCTTCACCAATTTCACCATGATAAGCGGTCTTGCCACCACGCACCAACAAGAGAATGTGGTCAAAGTAGCTGAACAAAGTAGCGGAAGGTTGATGAATGGTACACAATACAGGCCAACCAGCATCAGCAAGCTTTCGAATGAAACGAACAATGTTGAAAGAGGATTGGGCATCAAGACCAGAAGTAGGTTCATCCAAAAAGAGAAGCTTGGGCTTGGCAACCAATTCGACACCAATAGTAAGACGCTTGCGTTCTTCAACAGAGATACCCTTGTTGCTGCTAGCAGTACCAATCAATGCATCGGCAATATTCTCCATTTCCAAAAGCTCGATAATTTGCTCAACATAAGCATCCTTCTCGGCCTTGGGTACTTCAGCGGGTTGGCGCAAATAGGCGGAGAACTTGAGAGCTTCACGTACAGTAGCATTGGGATTGTGGATATCCATTTGCTCACAATAGCCAGTAATACGCTCGAAATCGGAAAAGAGCTTCTCGCTGTTCATATACATACGGCCTTCAATCTTGCCAATGGTCTTGCGTTGAGAAAGCACATCAAGCAAAGTAGTCTTGCCAGCACCAGAAGATCCCATCAATGCAGTTAAATGTCCAGGACGTACAATACCACCAACGTCGCACAATAGTTGACGAGTGCCACCCTTGACAGGTACGGTATAATCGATATGTTGCCATGAGAATGTGGTTCCATCAGTAACAGCTTCAAAGTTTTCATTCTTTTGTGCAAGTCGCTTCTTTGCCAAGGCTTCAGCATCTTCAGTTGGGGCTCTGTTACGCTTGTAGACCTTGATTTGGGAACCACCACCGCTACCAATGCTGAGGTATTCCATGGAAAGAGCGGTGACAATGGTGAAGAGGAAAAAGAATAGCACGACGGCAACAAAGTCAATCCAGCGTTCCCAGGTGTTGTAACCATATTTGAGCTTAAGATAATTGTCACCAAGGACAGCATCATCACCAGGTTGGGCGCCAGGAATAGAACAGGCCTTATAAGCTTGATCAACATCTTCATAAGCAGGACCAGAAGGAATGGAGTTGCCCGCCCCAATGCAAGTGAAGTAGTTGCCGTGCATTTCATTCGAGAACATAGCCTTGAAAGAATAAGCCATAGGATTGATCCAATAGATCCACATCAACCAAGGATGCATGTGGGTGTAACCAATAAGATAACCAGAGTAGATCAACAAGGCAATCAAAACGGTACTTGAAGCTTGAGAAGCCAAAAAGAAGTTGGGAGCAAACGAGCCAAACATGCGGAAGAAGCCATTCATGCACATGTTGATGAAGACCAAGTTGATCAAGTAGGTAAAGTACTATAGCAATCATAGTCAATATCTCGATTGATACCATTTTCACAAGCAATATGATACTTTACCTGTCCAGCTGTCAAGTTCAAACCAGCCATGAAGTAGACACAAAGTTCGAACACGATGACTTGAATGAAGGCCAAAGGAATATCAGCAACGACTTGAGCAATGTAGTAGTACATGGGCCGATACAAAGCATAGGACTTTTGCTTTTCCAAGACACCACGACCTTGCATGAAAGTAGCCAGCTCAGATTGCGAAATCAAGGAATTGAAAGTCAAACTGAAGAAGAGGAAACCACCACGAGAGAAAGCACCAGATGCTTCCTTGGGCATATGGAAAAAGACGGAAGCCATGATAAGACCCTTGACAACGACACCACCATAACGAGATACAAGAGCACCCTTATCACCTATAAGCATAGCATGATGATGAGTAAATGTGAATGATGTATCAAAAAGCATAATGATAGTTACCATAGATGAGTTGGAATTGACGAATAGTAAGAGCTTTGATTTGTTCGAAGGGAGATGCAGTAAAAGGCGACTTCTTGGCAGCATGCTTTTGATGAGCATCGTGAACAGCTTGACGGAAGGCAACATCAGGGCGTGTTTGATCAACTTCGGCCTCATATTCTTGAAGCTGAGCCAACATCGACTTGTATACATCAGAGTTCTTGTAGCATGCCTCGAATTCGGATGGAGTATTGGGAACCTTGTCTTCAAAGCCTGGTCTTGTTTCACGTTCTTGAATATTGCTGATACCAGTCAAGAAATCAGGAATGGACTTGCGAGGAGGGCAATAGAAACCAAGGTTCTCAAAGTAAGGCTTGGCCTGGTCAACAGGTCCAAAGTAGATGCAATGGCCTTCAAAGAGCACCAACGTGTTGTCAAAGATGTTGAAGATGCTGTCGGAAGCTTGATACAAGGTGGCAACGGTCGTCTTCTTGAGGATATCAGTCATGATACGCAACGATCGGACGTAATCGAGAGCTGACGAGGCATCGAGACCACGCGTAGAGCAATCCCAGCAATTCACACATGAGCTCGTGGTCATTAATTCGGCAATAGTAAGACGCTTGCGTTCACCACCAGAGAGACCACGCACGAACTCGTTGCCAACCATGGTGTCCAATTGCTTGACAAGACCAAGCATGTTGCTAAGCATGTAGATGACGTTGTCGACGAATTGGTTCTTGCCTTCATCGGAGAGACGCTTGCCGGGAGTCTTGAGGCGTAATGCGAACTGCAATGTCTGCTTTGCGGTCAATGTTGGGTAGTTGATGTCTTCTTCTTGAGCATAACAAACTTCGCCACGATAAAGCTTGCCAAATTCTTTTGCGTCAATGCCGCCATATTTGACATCACCCAAAACTTCAGTGAAGCCCTTGCGGAGTTCGGCCATGACACGGAGCAGCGTAGTACAACCAGCACCAGGACGGCCCAACACCAAAAGCATTTGACCAGGCTTGTTGAAACACGTGATATCGTTCAAAATGGTACGATCGTGACCCAATTTACGGTTCCAGTTCCAGAACTTGAAGGTTTTTTCTGCAACGGTGGTCAATGTAGGGATCCATTCAGCATCAGCACCAAGACCCTGATATGATAGATTTAGTCAATGCTATGATTAAAGTTTTATGAATAAAGCCCACTTTACCTTAACGGTCAAATTCTTCACAACAAGACCCAGGTGCTTGGGTTGAAATCCTTCTTCACCCTGTCGGCGATCAACACCCGATAGATAGTCCGTAAGATCAAATCGCTCAGGTGAGCCTTTTTCGAGATCATCTTCTTTGCCGTGGATGGTTGATTGGCGTGTCAACTCACGGCGCATTTCTTCGTAGGTATGCATAGCAGATTCGTAGTCAACGGCGTTGCCATCACGTTCGCCATAGCCACCAGCGCTGCTCTTGGTACGTGATAGTGGTGCGCCAACATTGGTATCGCTGTGATCGTCGCGTGAGGACCACGGCTGTGGCTGTTTTTCGGAAATCTCAGTGTCCATAAGGTTGAACTGGGATATAGTAGTAAATCGAGTACTGAGAATATACGAAACGTGATTTCAAAATAAAAAGAAGACGACGTCTTTTTATACTCTTAAACTGAGTAACAAGCAAGACGTTAAACAATATATCCATGGAGAGCTCAATAGGCTTTAGAAGCAAAATGATTATCCATCGTTGACTACTTGGGCAATCGAATACCAAATCTGGCACTAATGCACCTCCGCAAGTTGATCCATGCTTCCTGGATGCAGAACGGCTTAAAATGATTACCCATGCGAATCTATACTATACATTTCTTACACCTTTAAAAATGACGTGCTACAAATCGCCACGAGAATAATAAGACCATACATGGTGATTATGTCGACATTGCCGTTTCTTATAATCACCCTGAATTTGCACTACACTAGTGTTGTACGTTCTTGGTGCATGACAACATTGGATGTTGATGGATGTCATCTTGCAGCTGTAATCGCCCTGATAACGATGCACATGTACTGAGTTTCGAGCATTATCGGCATTTATCCAATGCGTTATACTTTCTAGTTCCATCATCTGTAAGGGAAGATCGTGCCCCTTTCCCCTGTTTCTGCGCAATCGTTGATCGGATAACGGTTTCATCTACCCTCTGATCGGCTAATTACCGTAGTCGTCAGTATCACTCTATCGGTCAATTTAAATTACGGGCAAGGCACATCCCCAATTGGGATTGCGTTTGTACTCCTTCCAAAGCTTGTCATATACCAACTTTGTGCGATCATGTTGTTGTCTCGGTATATTTAAATGATAATAGTAAAAGGATACAACAGCTATAAAATCCTATTTTGTAACTTTCCAATGATGCATTGTGTGTGCTGATGTTGCCATGCCATTGTTCTACTATGTGTTTTAACCCGGTATTTGCTCGCTGCCATTACTGATTCATTCACCGAACCTGGATCTTTTCTTCAAGCATCGCTGATAACCCAGCTCAAGGTTTCACAAACATCAAAGTGAAACTTTGGAACAGCCGATCCCAATAAATGCATCACTCTATTCATGGGTTTTCTTTTCGGATAATTCAACTATGGCTGCGTTGTACTTTTTATCCTTTGTATTAGTTCCATATGATTCATATCAGCACATGTGCGCTTCTTTAAACCTTCTCGAGAATAATTGATCTATGGATGAATCAAAGAATCATCCTTGCGGTCTTTCAAGCTTGTACGGATAAATTATCAAGTCATTGCCTGAAACAGCTGATCCGCTGTTCTCGTCCATTCTTCCGGCAAGATAGTTGAAGTGGCACACGTACATTCTCACATTACACAACAACGCACACTGAGAAATGACACGCTGATAACATGTCTCTATATATGAGATTTAATGCATAATATTTCCTTAGATGGCGATGTTGTCATTGTAAATGGATGCTACGTGCTGAGTGTGATTATATGTTTATGCAAGGAGCAGGAGGAGAGCATAGTTGAAAGGTGGAGCTGCAGCCTTGTTGTGCAAACTATGATAGACATGAACCTATTTGATTCCCTTGTATAAGCAATAATTGTAAGCGGGTAAATGTTTCCTCTTTTCATGATCACCAGGTTCAGAGGAAGCACGCCAAATCATAATACATGTTTGCTTGTACACGTGCGTGGGTCCCTATGTAATCCCAGCGCCATCACCACCGCCATCCATTTATGAGGTGACGGCAAACATGGGTACGTGAGATATGCAAACAAGATCTGTAAGAGCTTGAACGCCTTGTCTGGTAATGATGTAAACATGAGCGTCAATAAATCTATCAGCAGCATGATGAGAAGAATGACATGTTGCATTAACATACTCAAAGTACGTATCGGCTAGACACCACTAGAAAGAAGCAACAATCTCAAACGTAGTATTGAATTACGGTGATGCATGCTATAATAACAGCGCCTCACTCATACATGCAAAAGAAGGCTATGCCACTTGTTTTTTGTATATAACCTGCTGAAATTTCCAGCTCTTCCACTCTGAGCTTCTTCCCTCTTTCTCCCATTCCCAACCGTTGGTGCATTGAAGTATACAACTACCACCTGCGAACGATTGTCCTACTTCAACCCATCATGTCAATGCTACAGTTGTCTTGATACGATTGTCTTTGCCTGAATGGCGACTCCATGGCGTGTACACAGCCTTCTTGTCACTCTTCTACCACACACGAGTCTCTTGACACAACACACGCTCTTGCACTCTTCTCTACCACGACCAATCGCAACAGCATTCAAGGCAGCAGTTGTTATTAGCAAGCTCTTTACTACATCGTACCCAACAGCGTTCTCTACTTGCAGCAACCTGCCTTACAGCCTTGTTCACCTGAACAACACATAGCCATCACATACAAGCAGCTTTATTTACGTGTGACAATACATACGAATTCTTATGGATATGGATGTTGCATTGCTTTAGTGCATGAGATGGAAGGAATGAATCTATTGACCGGTTTGGTTCCCTTGGTCCATATAGAAGGTGATGTCTAGTTTGGATGACACCATATCATCGATCAACTACACCGCAATACAACCAATCCTCGCCGGGTTGAGTAGCGATAGAAACGACCAAGGAAGAGAACGCCTGGATCGAAAAGCAAGCATACTAGCAGCGACCACATGGCTCTTTTCAACCTACATGTTGGATTTGATGGATGGATGCAATCAAGTGCAATGATGAGATATCGTGGAATGTTGCTTGGTTACTTGTCGCGTTATCAGCAGGAAGGATGGATCATGTCACGTGGAAACGGCTGAGGATGATGATGGATGGGATGGAATGGGATTGACGAGAAGCCTTATATCTTTGACGAATGGTGTTTTACAGCCATGGATGCTATTGGAATACTCAAGTCAAATTATGGAACAGCTATTTTGCAATCATGGATGAAGATGTTTACGGTGGCAGCAACCAAGAATACAATGACACAATGACACCAATTGACTCTATGATTCACCCAATCCCCTTCATCTGGCAACGTTATCTAGTAACATGTTCATCTTTTGCATTTACGGCTAAATACAATAAATATCCTTTCGTATATTGAACAACCTTTGCTATTTGGATTTCGAATGCACCTAGTTTATGCAATTTGACACAAAGTACAAGTGACATGTATGTATGTATGTATGTGTATCGGATAGTGTAAGCACCAATGATCATTCAACCATGTTGATATCGGTTAATTGGCCTTAATGGCAATATGATGATGTTACGTTTTCATCATGAGCACATCAACAGGTGAGCTATTTCAAATACGCGTTTTTTGATGCCTCATTATCGTGTATATGCTTCCAGACAACAGATTACGCCACTACCAGCGTGTTGGGCTCAAAGGGTTACGCGACTGCAAGAAGGATCAATGACTAGGCGCACGACAAACAGTCTCGTTTCGCGCACGACAAATGGTCACATTACCAACCATGTCCCTGCTTTGCAACAGTGACTAGCTATATAAGACGTTTGTCGTGCGCACAATAAGCAAATATGGGACTACTTGTCGTGTGCCTAGTCGGTCCCTTGGTGTGCTTTTGGATGTTGGTGTGACGGATGAGATTGACGACTGGTGACGAGTACCAATACGAATGATGACGGAGGATGACTACGACTACGACGATGGTGGTGGCAATGTACAGTACATAGCAAGATAGCTAGATGAAATAAAGCATTGTTTATTTATTACTCGCTTGTTGTTGGAGGTTGCTAGCTTGTGGATTACATACTATTGCTTCGAAGATGGAATAATAAAGGTGGTCCGGTTATCGGTCATGCAAGAAGTATATGGCTTTTGTGATACAATAATGAGGAGTGGGATGACCTTGAGAAGAGAAAAAGTGAAGAGATCCCTCCATTGAGTTGATTACTGGTGGGTTTACATATACAAATTGGTTTATGCAGCTCGACCTTCTCCCACATGCAAATGTGATATGGAACCATTATTGTCGTACATATACCTTGACACACCTTCATGGTTCGATGTTGTTTCACTTACGTACCTTCACAAAAGGCAATCATCATGATCATCCATGTGTGCAGCAACCTGTCAAGGACGTGCTTGTGTAACCACCACGTGCCATTTCACTCAGCTCTTCATCTTTCCGTTAATGCAGCCGACACCATCCACTAGGGAAAAGCAACCCCATCACGCTTACGGCGGGCATAGGTAAAACATACAGGTGTCTCTATCTCTAAACTTTACAATAAAACGTGGGGTCTTTAATAGAACCATGTTGCTCGGCGGGGTGAAAGCGATCTTGTGTCAAACTATGAAGTCCATCGTGGCCAATCCCAGATTTCGCAATGTCGCTACCAGCCAAACTGGATCTGGGGGTCGACCTCTTCGACGACAACGACCAAAAAATATTTTTTGGGCTAGTTGCGACATTGAACGTGAAACTTTCACACAAGGTGCTGTTGGCCAAGCCGAGCCCATTGCTCTAATAAAAACCCCACGTTTCATTGTAAAGTTTGAAGATACAGGCACCTTTATGTTTGTAAGCGTGATGCTATATGAGAAGTGGTCTTTGTTTAATGTAAAGTATCTAGACCCTGGAGAGCGAAAGATGCAGAAGGACCTCTTTGTGTAGCTGAGCTAAAGAGTCCGGACCTCAGGGACGATGCATGACAGGTACGCAAACGTCATTTTCAGGTCATACATTGGCAGCTAATAGCCACTTTTGTACATTCCCAACTTTTGTGCATTCTATTGTAGGTGGACGATGCTCCTGCTCTAGACATTCATTTCCATGATTAAAGTAGGTTGATCCGAGCTGATTTGGTTGAGTTACGCTCACACAAGATTTCATCGGTTGAGCTACATCGAGCGTGCTCTATGTCCAGAGTGATGTAATCTCTCTTTGACCGTAGCTCAGTCAAATCAGCTCGGATCAACCTACTTTAATCATGGAAATGAATGTCTAGAGCAGGGGCGTCGTTCCCATGCAGTGGATCTCACAACAATGATGATTGGATAAAAGTGGCCGTTAGC